GTTCTGCTCTTTACCATTATGACATTCACTGAACTAATATTACTTTCTGTCAATCAAATTTTTACAAATGCATAGACTGAATCCCGTACATGCCGTAACAAATCACCAGGTATCTTTACATGCACACAGCATATACGAAAATCAACGTTTAAGTCTCCAAAAAAATATTTATATGAAGACATGAAAGATTGGGACAAAATTTTTGAACACCACCACGCAGAACAAAGCTTTGACCCACCAGGAAACATATCTGTATGCACCATGCTCGTACATTTTTTTGTATATATTTACATCTGATATAGGATTGACTACTATGATGAGGAAACCCAACGATGATGGCACCATACAAGAAGCTTATCTGCAAGATAGGATTTTCAACCCAGATAGGCAGATGAGTAAATACCTGAAGCGAGTAACGCTCCCAGACACCGCTGGTGCACACAGGTGAGACAGGTGTCCAACGACAACTTGAAAAAACGATGATTAATGTTTAACAAGACGAACATACCAGGAGAAATATCTGTGGTTATTCTGGTGATGGAAGACCCTGGGTTTCTTGTAGATTATCCAGGTCTAGTTGAATCAGAGACATACTGTTTTATAGCAAACTACAGAATGTAGGTCAACTTAACGCTTCCATCGGGTCCTTTAACAATAAGAACTTTTATCTGAAAGACCCCGAAACGAGGCCCTTTAAACTTATAGCTATAGTCTTCATCTTTTAATTACAGTATTACAAATAGAGTGGGGAGGAAAATATGTGCAAGATGCAAACAGGTTCCACCATTTTGATTAAAAACAGGGTTATAAAAAGTTAAATCAACATTGTGTTTGGGTGAAAGAGGGTTAATCATCAACTACCTGATTGACTCAACAAACCATCTGTTTCAAAGACTACCTCGAGTCTACATTCATCATCACCGCAGAGTCTCATGTTTCCTGTAAAAAAACATAACACAAAGCAAAGGAAAATTTCAGCACACGCTCAGCCGGATGTAAGGTCATAGGGTAACATATGTGTTTTAGGTTTGAACTGTCAGTAAGAGTTTTGCGTCAGTGGTGAGAGAGTGAAAGAGGATTTTCAATCAAGGTTGTCATGGCTACCGTTATAATTACAGCAACCTGGTCCCATATCCATGCAAACTTGAGTTCTGTATGCTTTTGACAGGAATATCGGACGGCTGGATCCATTTTATTGTATAATATGTATGGGAAATTAATGGATGTTTTTGTTTAACAGTGATTGTGTCATTATTTTGACATGCACACGACCATGTGACCTCAAGAAAGAATGGCACACCATGCCATCAGTAAATCGCCATCATAATTTGACAAATTGTAACTTATGCCCCCTCTTCTTTGAACCATTTTATTTTTTCACCGCACTACACATTTATCTTAAGAATCTGCCTATCAACATATTAAGTCAAAAACAGACGAGTTTTTAGCTACTTGAAGAGAACACGTCTGGTCTTCTGCCGATCAGTCTGGGCTTAATTAAAAACCAGTCCCACGGATAGGACATCCGGGTATTGCCACTTTCATCTGTCAACAAGTAGTTATGTATTCCCACTTTACGACATCGTCTTGCCCCAGTGCTAGAAACACTTACCAGGGAAGATCCCAAATTGTGTGTGGCTTTTCAAAATGTCGAGTGGAACATAATTGCTTATATCTAAAATTTCACAGATAAAAGCATAAGCCAAATGATGTGGCACCAATGCGAACTTTCAAGTGCCTATGTCCTCATATTTTGATAAAGAATTTTTCAGATTAGCTTTATAGAGGAATATGTCGCGATTGTGCTTCTGGCTTGTACCTTAAAATGGTATAATCATCGAAAATATTTGCTGCATACGAAAAGCATACTGCACATCATATGTGATGGTATGTTACAAGGCAGAACAAGGGAAAACACTTTTAAAAAGGTTAATTTGAATTTTTGAATTTATAATATCAATAATGCTATCATATTTTACAATTGAGAAACAAACGAAGCGGTGACATTGGTTAAAAGGTGAAAGATAGTGATAAACTAGAACATCAAGGTCTCTGGAACTTGGTCACACTCTTGATTATTCCCGTGAGAATCAAAACTCCACCACTGTGAAATATTTTGTATGGGCACATTCAGGGATGGTCAATTTCAGGTCATCAGTGCCATCAGCTGCTGCGTCTGAATCAGTTTGTTTTGAAATGAAACACATATCAACCTCGGTAGTTTGGATGATACCAGGTATAAGGACAAACTACTGATAGAGTAGCCTGGTGAACAGCTCAATCGGCCTGTAGAAGAGGTAACACGCATCAGCAAGCTATCGCAAACACATCACACACTGCAAGCATTTTGGGCGATTATGTCCCATCATCAATTTTGTGCGACTGCAACGGGTCAGATTCTCCGAGTTAGTGAGTGACTGTGATAGCTTGATGAATGGGGCATCGGGACTATAAGTTTCTCTCTTCAATTTGACCTTTTATTTGTTTCGGTAAGTATTATAGATATCAAGAATATGAAATGTTGATTTTTGGAATTTTTGTCATAAAGCAATGTTGTAAATGTGGAGGACATCTTGGAACCAATTCAATTTTTCAGTTACCATACCCAAAACCATCCAACCCTGGTGCTTCATATTATCAGTATTCTTTAAACAACAACAATTCCAACACTTTAGTTTCTCATATTAACGAAACGATAAGCAATATTTCCCCAAAGTACATATTTCTTTTTCAAATGTCCCACCTAAATCTCGACGATTTGTATCTACCCCCCCCCCCCCTTATCTTGCTATGTAAGCTTGATAGGATCCAAGCAGAGAATTTAAGTGGTGCGGATGTTGTCCTAGAACTTGGAGTGACACGAGATGAACTTAGCTGGAAGAGATAATCCGATAATCCCAGATTATCCGCCCCATGCCCACTGTGCTCCCTGACTGGAATAATTATCTCCAATCACACGTAATCATAATCACGATCGTCATCACCATTGGTGTACCCTTTGAATAAAATGACACGTTTGGGACAAGTATCATTTTACATTAAGCCATTGTGTTGGTTCCCTTATGGTTTCTCAAACTCAAGTTAGGGAATAGGGGACCAGAATTCCCATGGGCCATAGTTGACAGAAGACTTAATTAGGGTGATAGATAGAGAATGTCGGGAGTTGAGATACTTGTAGGACCTCAAGATTCAATTTTCACTTGTTTTTAGATCGATGCAAGATGAACAAATTGCGAATTTCGAAAATCGGAACCTCGTTTAAATCAACAGTCCCAAGAAAATATTCAATATGAATGAAGATATTCTTTCTGAATGTAAGCCTGATAATGGTATTTTTGTGTGTTTGCATCAGACTGATAACACAATTAACAGATTCAATGAAAGTATATTGTTCCATACAGTATAGGAATGCTAGGCAAGCGTCCCTTTAATGAGTAGATTATTCGGGTAGCGCATATAGACTGAGTTATATCATTTTCAATAGAGTTTGCTTTTAAAACAGAGTTTTATACTTAAATGTACTAGGCTCTAACTTTCAGAGCAGACTGATTATGACCACATCTTTTTATGTTTTATCTAAAAATCATGTCAAATTAAACAATGAAGACCTCGGTAATCTGCTAACAGAGAATTTGATGATGTTGTGAAATATGATGCGTTCCCACTTTGCCACAGGGGTCCAAGTTTCTCTACAAACTCAGTGAAAAACAATGACATATTTTTTAATAAACTGTCACATTCTAAATCGATCGATCACGCTCACTGCACAAATCCAAGATATGGTGCTCTACCAACAGAGATTTTTAATCTTTTAAATTCCAGCACAGACCAACATCATCATATTATCATGACATCCCAGGGTTGGAGTTGAAACCCAATACTATAAGTAAGTTAGTGGTTTTATCCCACTAGTGTGTTACCTTGGCTACCATGTCACTCAATGTTTAATTAATTGACTTATCAAGAGCTTCTGTCAGAATTTCATCTCTTTATGATCATATGGTCAGACAACCACCTCAGCCTCACCAAAAATGGCAAAACTATAGGGAACCAAAACACATCGGTAAAAATATCGATGACACCGTAGTACTAGGTGTAGTATTTTGATAGAGTGTATATACGATTATGAGATAATATTTCATACTATGACAATGGAACAACTATACTTATATAATTGGCAACTATTTGATAACTATTTGGTCTTATCCTTACGTTTAAACATTCTCATTTGTTTTTTCATCATTTTGAACTGTCGAATCAATAGGAATATAAGCAGGCATTGACCCTTTTACACGAGTATAAGGAACTTATCCATTTCAGTGTTTTTGTTGTTTTATTTAATTAATTGATATATTCTGGTTTAATTGTGGAGTGTATCGAATTCATCACAAGGGGACAACCCCAATGTTCATTGTTCAAATGCAATAACCAAGTTTGGAGAAGAAATGTTGTCAGCTGTCATTAGTGTTCGCAGCCAGATACCCGTGAAGTACAATGTAGCATTCCAAAATGATCAAATTCTCATAGAAATCAAAGCATTTTCACATGTTAATCTGTCAAAGTTCAGTTTTAGGAGACTTTGTAAAATCGAATTACGTATACGTAGTATTTCATGGAATTCCAAGATAAGTCTAAATGTATTATGAAGGTCACCTCGTGTCTTCTGGAGAAGTAAGACACGTTGCAAAATAGATAGAATATTGAAGCAATGCGTATCTGGATGCAACGATAGCAATTTTAGAATAATTGTTTCAAAAAGACAAACAGTTTATTACACGAACTTATATTGGCACAATTGGAATACATCATGTTCATTTATTTATATTCAAATTGGTGTAATGCCTGAATGCCGCCTATGTTGAGAAAAAACCAGACCGTAATTGCGCGCTGCCTTCAAAGAACAACAACTTGTTTGCCTATCAAAACCAAGATGGATTCAATGAAGAGGTCAAGATTTCTACAGTCTTCTCTAGTTGATTCAAAGAAATCAATGGACTTACCTTTAATATATTCTGCCTCTTCAAAACCGAAATCATCTGCATAGCTTGTCTTGTATCGTTTGTGCGTTAGGAGGAAAACTTTCGGCATTTTCGGAATGGTCTTATTGTAGTGTAATAGTGGCTAGTAACTCGTAAGGTGTGTTGTGACCCACTCTTTGCCAGCGTCTGTAAAGGTGTTCTTGAGTCAGGATGTTTTGCTAGCAGATAACGGAGCATACATAGCTGACTAGCAGCGGTTATCTGTCTGCTACTGGTATCAGGTATCACTCAGGCTTCTGGTTGAGCCCCTCCAAATCAAGTCAGGCCCAAAGTGGTCACATATTCAGTCCTTGAACAGTCTCGTTTTTTCATGTTTTACTATATTTTTACATCTAGATGTTTTGCGATTGTAGCTTAAGTCAAATCAAGACTATTAATTGGAGGTAAATATCGACTTTTAACTTTCAAAATATAAGAATTCCACAAAAAGGTATCCTTTAATTGAATGGGCAACTGATGGCAAAAGAGAATTATGGTTAATAGGTGTTGTTCAATGTTCACACCTCTCGTTATTAATTAAGAAATTCGAGGGACATAAAAATCATTAGACAAAATTGAATCAAAGGAGCACGTAGGTTATTGCAAACACTTTCAAACGATTCTAACTTGAATTCTGAATATTTTCTGATCATGAACTACGTGTATCTTTTAGATCCATTCTTTATCTTCAAGAAAAGTATATATATTGATAATTTAGTTAATCAGACCTAAGTGATATTGAAGGGACAATGGACCAATCAACATACTTTTTCAAAAATGTTGACCTAATTTTCACCAAAAATGCAACATTTTATTATATTGTTGATTGCATAATTAGAATGTGCTTTGAGACATGTTCGATTTCCTAAAAGGAAAAGTTGATTGCTCCAGGGACTTTAAAGATAATGAATTTGCAAGACCAAAATGAACTGAAATCAATGGATAGCATGAGATTTTTCAATGGAGAAATAACACGAGGAACACTTATCTTAAAGCAATTAGGTTTTTCTTTCAAGAACTATTTGATACATCAAAATAGAAAATAGTAATGCATTAAACATTGTAAAAAATTATTGCATTTTTGGTGAAAATGGGGTCAACATCTTTGAAAAAGTGTGTTGATGGCTTGATTGCTAGTTAAATATCTCCGAGTTTGTTAGACTTTTATTATTACTGTATAAAATTTTCTTTGAGATAATGAATTGATCTAAAAGATAAACCTGTCTTCATTGTTAGAAAATAGTCATAATCCAAGATATAACCTTCTGAAATTGTTTGCGATAACCTACGTGCTCCTTTGATTGCGCTGAATGGGCAAATGCTCTTTTATATGATTTTCTTCAGTTTAACATAATTATAGATAATATTATAGAGCATGCGATGTTGAAAATGATGTCAAGATATCACTGTTTATCTGTTGGTGTATTATCCAGAGAAAATATCATAAATATAACTCGTGATCGAAATTGAATATGAATACTATACTACATGTATTTTTAAAGAAAAATGCAATTTAGATCTTATCTAAAACGGAGATGTCTAAGATGTCAAAGGTCACTGTCAAATAATAATCAATCCTGCCATTTTTATGATATATTTCTTTTGTGATAGTATTGCTCCTGATTCATCCATGAACCACCCCATGTGCTTTCTTGCCATATCTATGTCATACTTAAGTCTTTCTCTTCCTGAGTTTATTCAGTTTTGTACCATCTTCATGTCATACTTAAGTCTTTCTCTTCCGGATTCAGTTTTGTGCCATCTTTATGTCATACTTAAGTCATTCTCTTCCGGATTTTAGTTTTGTGCCATCTTTATGTCATACTTAAGTCTTTCTCTTCCGGATTCAGTTTTGTGCCATCTTCATGTCATACTTAAGTCATTCTCTTCCGGATTTTAGTTTTGTGCCATCTTTATGTCATACTTAAGTCTTTCTCTTCCAGAACGTTTCTTCTGTTTTGTGCCATCGTTATGTCATACTTAAGTCTTTCTCTTCCGGATTCAGTTTTGTGCCATCTTTATGTCATACTTAAGTCTTTCTCTTCCGGATTCAGTTTTGTGCCATTTTTATGTCATACTTAACTCTTTCTTTTCCGGATTCAGTTTTGTGCCATCTTTACGTAATACTTCCTGCCATTTTTATGATATATTTCATTTTTGATAGTATTGTTCCTGATTCATCCATGAACCACCCCATGTGCCTTCTTGCCACATCTATGTCATACTTAAGTCTTTCTCTTCCAGAAAGTTTCTTTAGTTTTGTGCCATCTTTATGTCATACTTAAGTCTTTCTCTTCCGGATTTAGTTTTGTGCCATATTTATGTCACACTTAAGTTTTCTCTTCCGGATTCAGTGTTGTGCCATCTTTATGTCATACTTAAATCTTTCTCTCCCAGAACGTTTCTTCAGTTTTGTGCCATTGTTATGTCATACTTAAGTCTTTCTCTTCCGGATTCAGTTTTGTGCCATCTTTATGTCATACTTAAGTCTTTCTCTTCCAGGAAGTTTCTCCAGTTTTGTGCCATCTTTATGTCATACTTAAGCCTTTCTCTTCCGGATTCAGTTTTGAGCCATCTTTATGTCATTTTTCAGTTTCTTACTTTCAATCGGCAGTAGTCACCTTGCTAGCAGGATAAAGATTTTGGGGATATGCACCATTGTGCTTAAGTATTAGTAAGTTTTTATTGAGTAAACTTTTGCATTTAGATTTTTTGGCTAGTACATGTATATGTATGATAGGAGATTTAGTGTCGAAATCTGGAGTTACATGTACTTTATTTCCAATCAGTTATTTGCGTTAACCATGATTTCTTTTAGATATTGCTTCATTTCATCAAAAAATCATAATACATGAAAATATACAAAAACATACAAAAATATACAAAAACGATTGCTCTTAAAGGTGCAAGAATTAGTGCAGGTTAATTCAACGATCATCAACAAATGTCAAAATATATTTAAGTTTGGATATTTCATCAAGACTAACATATATTTTATTATCTACAAAGAAGCCCCCTGGATGAACATTATTTCGGCTGATATTCCTCTTGAAACGTGGTGAATCTATAAGTGGGACTCCCTTTATAGAAGCTTTGAACTGAATTTACACTTCTTAATTCTGAACTTGAGAGTTTATCCATACATTTGAAGAAAATAGGTATGTTAAAGAAGATGTTAGGCCAAATATTGACCAGAAAAATAAAACTTTTTTAAGTTTTCTGGTGAACAATAATAATACTATCTTTGTCCATAAAAAAATAGATTACAAAAAATTAAGACATTAAGACTACAAATATATGCACAGCCATGTAGATAAAAATGTTTGTATATCGCCAGCTTAATTGGTTACTCGATCCAGTTGGCTGGGTCGGTTCAGGTGTTGTTTCGGGTTCTACTTTCATCCTTTTTGCTTCAATGTTTGCCATAAATTCTTTCCAATAATTGAACTTCTTTTGGAAATCAATTTGGGAACTAGATATGTTTGGTTTTATGACTGCATATTTCTGATTGTCTACGTCGTACTCAGGCCAATTGTGGAGGCCATCGCCATTTGGATTACTGGAAAAAAAGAAATCAAAATATTCATTTAAAACTGTTTATATGCAACTTATCATGAAGGTATTGACAAAAGTGCATGTATCGTAATAGTGAACTCAATCGCTCATGTTTTGAACTTTATTCTCTACGTAGGTACGATAAAGTTTCTGGTTTATTAACGATGTTCACAAGATAATTTCAGTTATTAATTTGCTGCTTTCTCCAAATCTACTACTGCGAACCACCTATCATTAACATAACATGTCACCTAAGCGTAAATTACATTGGCATCGATTGGGGGTAAAGTTCAAAATGTATCAAAGAAAGTTATGTGAGAGTCACAATTGTTCATAAGGAAACATTTTTCTAGTACCTCAAATGTTGATCCATGCACAAATAATATTATTATGGTTTCTTACCCAGTTGCTGCAAAGTTGGCCCAGTACTGCATCATTTGTTTACTCAACTCCTGTTCTGCATCACTAAACACATAACCCTTTCCCTCATCTATCCATTTGTCAAGGAAGCCAACGCCGAACATGAAGAAGACATCATCAAAGTGAGTTGAATCCACGTATGCTGGTCGCGGAAGGGCTGCGAAACTTGGCGAATGTGAGAACACATAAAAGTAAGTGTTGCCACCCATGCCTATAACAAAAATTCAGATTCACAACGGTTATAATCATTATTATTACTGATAATCCATATTTGTAATCCTTTTCTGTAGGCATCTGTATCAAATAGTGGATACGAGCCAGAAAGGTTTCCTGACTTATGACAAATGCTTAATTCTAGACATAGAAACACATAGAAACACAAAAATTAAATATCATCTCTGTGTACGAGTCTTACCTTTTATGGTTCTCGTCGTGTTAAGCGTTGGGAAAAACATCGCGAGATCACTGATTATATCAACAGAAGTCTCCTTCAGTAGTTCTTCTGATGCCGTATCCGCTGAGGCATTATTTTCCAAATACTCTGTTGCTATTTTTTCAATGTTTTCAATCGTAATTGCATCTTCTCTCATGTAGGAAGTAAGTCCTTGTATGATTTCTAGGATAAATCGGCCGTATGAATTATTCATATTCTCGGGGATTCGTCCTGTTTCTGAAATTTGAGAATATGATAGTTTGCCCTTATTTTCTGCAATCCTACCGTCTTCCTCATTTTTAGCACAGATTTTAACCAGGCTACTCAAACCTCACCAAACCATAGTAACAGAAGAAGAGTCGATATATTTTTTTCGAATTCCTTGTCCAGGGTAAACCCTGGCCCTTTGTATCACCTAATACGCCTAAGAGTGAACAAACAGGTTGTTAGAAACGTTACCAATGTGTTTATCAAATGAGGAAAGTGAAAGTATTTTCTACAATGATATCAACACTCACCTACAGGCATGCCTAAAAACATAAACCCTTCATCTTCTGTTACACCTGCAAGGACATCCTTATCACTGAAATCAGTCTTCAGATACAAATCCCTAGGATGCTCAGGAAATATCTCACCATCTATTGTTGGCCAATCAGATTCAAATTGAGGGCCAACTTTTGAGATCTCATCAATAGATATTGTTCGCAAGCATTGTATAGTGTCCTCTAATGTTTCATTTGCACATCCTAGATGAAAAAAGAAAACATTTGAAAAAATAAAAGAACAAACACAAGGAGCACACGCGTCTCGAATTCGCAACCTCGTGGTTACGGCGCCCAATGGCGCCCAATGGCGGCGCTCTAAGTCCTCTCGGCCAACTCGACAATCCCTAATACAATGCATAATAGGAATTGTCCATTGTGTGACAATATAGCTTAGCAGTTTAACTGATTATAAGGTGTTGTCACATACATACTTATTACATAAGCCTACCTTTAGTTTTTCCATGGGCGTTCAACAGACCATGGTTTTTCAAATTGTTCGGATAATCTAAATCTTCTTCATGAAAAATGCCCGAAAATGCTGTTTGCATATTTTTAGAACGTAAAGGCAGAATTAGATATATACGAGGAGGGTGTGAAAGAATTACGAGCAAGATGTTCAATCGACCTCCCAAGTTGTCATCCAAAATGTATAACCTCCCATCCCAAAATCTTTGTCAAATCGAAGTAATTCAAGCTTCAATATGAAAAATGTGTAAATTCTCCAAAATAATTAAAATAGATATCCACAATTACAGAAAAGTGAACACTCAAGAGTATGAATCTTTAATTTTAATAGAATATACGAACTTTTGGGATTTTTTAAAAGAGACCTTATAGGTAATGATATATAGCCCAAAATATCCTTTGACTGACACCCTTTTGAAATGTAGATTACTATGTCTGATTCTGCCTTAAAATACTCAACGAGTCAGTAATTCATACCTATTAGCTTTACTATGCCATCAAACTTTTTTCTTGGATTTTCATTGATGAGTTTGTCCGTATTAATTGATCCACTCTGGAGGATGGCTCGCTTGAATAAATCTTTACTTATTGGTGACACAAGAAGTGATGAAACGCTCCAACTACCTAATAAAATATTCATTATATACATTATTAGTATACACTATTGGTAATATTTTCCAAGTTAAAGCGCTCTATAATTCTATTGAATGGGGCTTCTTTGATATTGCTTCAAGACAGACTTGCCAGGAAAAGTGATCTCCAGACTTTTTATCATAACTAACTTTAACCACCAAGACTTCACTCGGATTCAATCGGAAACAATATTTTGCAATATTTCTAGTAAGCTGGAAAATAGGTAAGTAAAAATTCGAGCAACTTTATTTCTCAATAAATCAAAATTTCCTTTTGTGAAGTGACCAATATGTCAAATAAATGAGCAAACAGTGCATATTTGCTCAACTACTTCTACATAATACCTGCACTTTCTCCAGCAACTGTTATTCTATCAGGGTCCCCTCCAAAAGCCTGTATATTATTTTTAACCCACTTAAGTGCCATCACTTGATCAAAGAACCCCATGTTACCCGGCATGTGCTCATCACCGGAACTAAGAAACCCTTTAAAAAATATATACATTCATATATAAAAATCTAAGAACTAATAATATATAGTTCCAAATCTAATATATGTCTAACATTGCAAATATCAACCACTGTATATATCGAAACTAAAAAGCTACTATCAAGATTGATTCTTTTATTCATAGACTTGTATAAATAGGAACCTATGTTAACTCTACCTAAATGTCCTGTTCTGTAGTTTATTGAGACAACAACCAAGTCTGTGAAAGTACACAAAGCAGTTCCATTGTACGCGTGTCCAGTCCCTGAAAACATGGCATGAAATGGTAAATACCAAAACGTATTACAGTTTTTGAAAGGAACATACGGAAATGAGATGAACGAGGAAAAAATACTTCCCATCTAATTCCAAACAATCATCTCACCTGAAATGAAAAAAAGAAAAGCTTTTCTTCATCGTTGTTCTAACGAACAAAAAAGGATCTCCCCTACATTCACAAACCCTTATCGCAATCAAAAACCAAACGACCATTGGACATAAATGTTTTAGAACAATGAAAGGGGGACTAAGAAGACCACTTCTCTCACATCGAAAAAGTTGACTTGCATGTGTGGATGCTAGTACTAATACAGGACAATTTCATAATTTCATAAGTACCTAAATAAAATCCACCTCCATGTATCCAAAACAACACAGGTAGTTTTCCTGTTGTGTTAGGTGTGTAGACATCTAGTTCTAAACAATCTTCAGAGTAAATATCAAAGCGTTGAGGCATCGGTATTCTGTTGTGCAAAGCCAATGGTGTGTTTAACATCATTCGAACGACAGGTCCATTTTCTACGCACGCATGGGCTGAAGAAGAATTTTCACAAAACTTAATCATAACACTTCACAGCCAAGCAATCCCATTATTAACTATATTTAATACATTTTAGAAAATAACATAATTGTATACTTCTCTGTAGCAATCCTCCACAGCTAAGCAAATCCATTATTGACCCATATTTAATAAATTTTAGAAAATAACATTAGAAAATTACATACCTATCTCCGTTGCATTTCTGATTCCGGTCCATGACTGTGCGGGAGTTGGTTTTCCAAACCTGCCTGCACCTGTGGGAGCCTGGGCATATGGGATACTGTAGAAAGTATAGACAGGTTTAGTGCTGTTTATTGTGTAGTGTACAGTTCCTCGAACCCTTCCATTCTTAGTGTCGACTTCTGGGTTGGGATCCACATCCTCAGTTATGATAAACGATGGGCATAATGCTATAAACATCAATCAAGCTTCGTATAATTAAACAGCAATGCCAACATAAGAAAACAACATGGCCAACATGAGAAAATAACAATGCCAACATGAGAAAATAACAATGCCAACATCAGGAAACAACAATACCAACATGAGAAAAGAACAATGCCATCATGAGAAAACAACAATGCCAACATGAGAAAACAGCAATGCCAACATGAGAAAATAACAATGCCAACATGAGGAAACAACAATACCAACATGAGAAAAGAACAATGCCATCATTAGAAAATAACAATGCCAACATGAGGAAACAACAATGCCAATATTGGAAAACAACAATGCCAACATAGGAAAATAACAATCCCAACATGAGAAAACAGCAATGCCAACATGAGAAAACAGCAATGCCAACATGAGAAAACAGCAATGCCAACATGAGAAAACAGCAATGCCAACATGAGAAAACAGCAATGCCAACATGAGAAAACAGCAATGCCAACATGAGAAAACAACAATCCCAACATGATAAAACAACAATGCCAACATGGAAAAACAACAATGCCAACATGAGAAAACAACAATGCCAACATGAGAAAACAGCAATGCAAACATGAGAAAACAACAACGCCAACATGAGGAAACAGCAGGACCGATACGAGATAAACCATAATCAATGTATGTACATGTATATGATTCAATTGTTACAGGGCGGATTCAGAGATATAGGGTAACCCCTTCAATTGGCACTTTATTTGATTTACCCTTATCTTGTTAAACATTTCTGCTGTTAATCTGCCGGACTTTGTCGTTTTTTTTATGTCACACACTGTCTGAATATATATGCAGAAGTGACTTTTTTATAAGAGATCTAGTATAAGAGAATACTCAAAACTCCATATCCAGTGTTTTATGCCAAATATATTTCTAATCTATTTATGAATAAAAACATTTATAAAGCTACTTAAATGTACTTAAATCCATTGGCTTGAATTTTTCTTTGAGATCAATCAATGTCACATCTACCTTATCAAAAAAGAGCTAGAAAAAAGAAAATTCTTTGGGAAAACAATTGGACTTGAACACCAGTACCACTGTAGCACTTTGAAGTCGTTTTTCCACAGTTAAACAACAACATTGAAGTTATCGAAACCGAATTACAGTTCAGAAAAACTACAAATATGAATTCAAAATAACTTACCTATACATATTACGATAAATAGGAAACGTTTTAGTTGTTCCATTTTAATCTAAATGTATAGCTGTCAACAAATAAGTTCTTGAATGTGATGATGATGGTTTCTAGCTTTCATGCATACGCTGTGTCGAATTGTCGCATTTGTGTTTCACATGATCAACTTAACCTTTTTATATACGGTATAAGCGATGAATTGTCATGTATATTTATACACTGTTGCTCAGAAATATGAAATATTAGATTTTTCAGATTACAATTCAAGTTTTGGGGTCGTAACAGCCCATAACAGCACTAATACGGTATGTCTTCCTAGTGCTGCAATCAGAGCATCCATCCCGCGGGGAATGGTGTCAGTGAGATGTCTGACCTGTCCACGTGAAATAAGGTCCCACTTCTCAATCAGAGGATCCGTGTCACGAATTGCGTTTTCAGTCTCATCCCACATGTGCTCTGCAGGAGCCTGATCAGGTGACTTTGGTGCCTATGGTAGCTGCTTCGCATTGCCTGCCCTGGGGAAATCTGCATAATGCAGCTATCATGCGCATGAGCTTCATCATGCTGCAGTTGAAAGTTACGCCCAAACACTCTGTTTGCATGGTAGGTCCAAAAGGTCACTGTATCTCTCACAACTGACATTACAGTTGAGACTCACCAAGGGGGTACGAATCTCCTTGGTGAACACCACCTCAAATATGAACAGAACCTCCACGAGCTACTTTTAATAACAAACAGTTTTATGTGCAAATATGAAGAGGAAATCGGGAGGCAATAAACATTTTTCAACAAAATTATTATATATCATTTGTAAGAATTATACCAAACTATTAATATCTATAGAATATTCCATATTTATGAGCAACAGTGTAAACTGACGTGTCGAAAACGTTTATGTGAGCATTGAAAATTCCAGTATGATCGTGAATCATTGTTTCATTTTGTTATTTATAAAAAATAAATGAATTGAACTTCTTTTACGAAAATACATTTAGTGCGTGTACTGAAACGAACTCGAATTTAACAGTTTAAAGGATCAATATAACATAGAACTTTGTATTTTACTTTTCCAAACATATTCTTAGTTATTTCTAGAAGACGGATGTTGTTTGTTGTTTTTCTCAACCTGCAGCTAAAAAGTTTTTGTAATGTAAGCCCAACGTAAAGTTTTCGAGGTAACCATCACATTACATCAATAATACATTATAATCGTTGACAGTCTAATACCAATGTTAAAAAGCCAACGGGTCTGTCAGATTGGGCCCGTGTGATCAGTTCAGTCGAGTAAAACGACTGCTGCTAATAGAAATGACTATAATTCATATGACCTTCAATTGCCGCTTTAAAAGTACCTTAACGTTTGTTCTAATTTCAAACCCTTAAATGTGTCAATCGGCCTTGATTCTTTCATCAGAAATTACCATTATGCACATAAACATGACTATGACTAGGCTACGTGCGTGCACAGGTTTAAATCGAAAAACAGTTTTTGAAAAAGTATTTCATCACTTAAAAGAAATCTAGTGATCCAGTTTCGTGAGTGGGTCAGTTTCAAATCAGTGCATAAAACGTCTAGTCGGTGCACAAAGTGTGCGTACTTTAGCAGATATGACCTTGATATTATGACAAGCTGTATGTGGCCTAGCAGAGGCATAGTTAGGCCATTTTTTCAGTGTACGGTTCGTTTCGGTAACAAAATGTCGGAACATCGAAGGTACGGTTTTTCATTTTTGCTTATTTCGCTCGTTGTAGGCAGAATCCCAACGACATTTTTTCTCACAAACGTATACCTGTATCATATAATTTATAAGAAGTACATGTTTGCGAAAAAATAGCTCAGAAGACAGCAAAATCGTTGATCATATTCCTCACTTGAGTTACATAAACGGTTTAACCCAAACCGTTTCTGTAACTTAAGTGAGGAATTAAATCGACGATTCTGTTGTCTTCTGAGCTATTTTTCGCAAACATGTACATTTTCTGAAACATATGATACTGATACATGTTTTTGAGAAAAAAAACGTGGGGATTGAGGTATATCCAGAATTATGGCAATGTCTATACTTTCTATACATTGTCTATACTTTCTATACTTTCGATCTCTTTTTTCATACTATCTGCCTTCGACGTTTCTATACTTTCTATACTTTCGAACTGCTTTTTCATACCAACCGCCTTTGACAAATCAGATGTCTATAGTTTCTATACTTTCGAAATGCCCTTTCATACTAACTGCCTTTGACAAAGCAGATGTCTATAGTTTCTATACTTTCTATACTTTCGATCTGCTTTTTCATATAACTGTCTTAGACAAATCAGATGTCTATAGTTTCTATACTTTCTATACTTTCTATCTGCTATTTCCCAGAACTGTCTTCGACATATCAGATGTCTATACTTTCTATACTTTCTATACTTTCGATCTGCTTTTTCCCATAACTGTCTTCGACAAATCAGATGTCTATAGTTTCTATACTTTCTATACTTTCGATCTGCTTTTCCCCATAACTGTCTTCGACAAATCAGATGTCTATAGTTTCTATACTTTCTATACTTTCGATCTGCTTTTCCCCATGACTGTCTTCGACAAATCAAATGTCTATAGTTTCTATACTTTCTATACTTTCGATCTGCTTTTCCCCATAACTGTCTTGATTCAGAAAGTGACCGAGAAAGTTATGACGTCACATATTGTTTTACAATGTACAGAAAGTATCGAAAGTATAGAAAGTATAGACATAGAGATTTCACCAAAATGTAAAGTATAGAAAGTATCAAAAGTATCGAAAGTATAGACATAGGGAATTCACCAAAATCAAAAGTATAGACAGTATAGACAGTATAGACATGTATAGACTTTAGAGAGTCCAATCGTCTAAGACTGAAAAAAGCAGTTCGAAAGTATAGAAAGTATAGAATATGCCATAAGTTTGGATATACATGTGCCTACAACGCGTGAAATAGGGAAAAAAGAAAAATCGTACCTTCGACGTTCCGACCGTTTCGGTAACCAGCGTAATCGAGCGTATATGTGTATATCAAGGATGTTTTGATACAATACATTACTCTCGTATGCAAATATATCATTTCGTCGAGAATACAGAGTGCGGAATACGGGATGCCACATAACACACCTTATAATATTGTCAATATGAGGGTTATTTCTAATACTGAGAAATTCATCATCTGTTGAAATTAGATAGATACAAAATACATGCAGCACGGTTTTCTTAAAATAATTCCTAAAAACCGTGATATTATTGATATATCCGAATCCGTTCTGCCAATTTCCTATGTCCAATGATTCGGCAGATTACCTGGGATAAGATTTAGGACTTATTTTAGTTCTTCTGTTCTTTAGCACTTGGATGGCTATCTAGGCAAGGGTAAGAAATCTGGAAAAAAAAAATTTTCACTTTGCGCACACTTACCTACGCCACTGCCTAGGGTGATACATTCCAGTACTTTAAAGAACGCGTGATGCTTGATATATATAAGGGTTATGTACTGGGAGGTTTTGGATATAGGGTATATCCCGAATATATAGGTTATTTACTGGGAGGGATTGAATATGGGTTTTATTCTGAGAGACAATATGATATTGACCGAGGGAGCGTAGCGACCGAGTGTCAATATCATATTGCCCAAGGTGTATACGTATTTTCCGAGGAATAAAACCCATATTCAATCCCAACCAGAAAAAACTAGTTATTCCATAATACATCTAGAATGTTACATTTGGATAATGCAAACATTATATTAATAAATGCACATTGAAAGATAAAGTAAATAAATAAAATAACCGGGAAACCAAAAATAGGTTAAGGCAAAGGCTAAGTAAATCAAAAGTACAAAAAATGGCAGCCATATATTTTTTGATAAAGACAATGGTTTTAAAATCTGTTTACCTTGTATATGAATTGTACATATGATTGGTATATCTTGACTTAGGAGAGGAAAACTTCAGTTAATTGATACACCCGGGTGTCTTATGTAACATGTGAAATGCCTACTAGATAGCAAACAGCCAATCAGCTGTCAGCAGAGGATGTGGCTTAGCAGTAGTGGGGTATTTATAAACACAAGCACAAGGCATATTGCTGCTTTGTTTGCATGTTTTAACCTCTGACCTGAGAGCATTGGAGACTATTGGTCAATTTGAAATTAAATCCACATCCAACTGCTAATATTTAATGAGACCTTTAAATATTTCTTTTCAAGTTTGCTTGAAATATACTTCATGATACTTAAATATGATTTCATATTTGCATTCATTATGGTTTCATACATGACTGTAGCAAATTTGGGGCTTTGAATCTTCCTAGAATTCAGGATATTGGCAAAATCAAAATAAATTTACTGGTTTCAGTGATTCAAACATTTTCAACAGACATAATTGACTGTTCTTGGCTGTTCCATCTTCCTTTTATACCCGGTTTTAAGAAACATCTCAAAGTTAACATTACACATAAATATATTTTTATAATGAATTGTAGGTATATGGGTCCCTAAAGCTAACATGAAAACTGTGAAGTGAGGTTAATTTTTGAAAACATCAAGGAGTAGGGGTACTTCGATGTCACATTTGTATTACTCCAAAATTTCCATAAATCATCTTACCTTACCAAGGAACATCAAAGTAGCATTAAATTGTGTACTTCTTGCATCGTTAGAGTATAATAAAGCTCAAAGCATTGTGAATTCTAAATATTTCATGTCCACCATTTTGTTTGCTGGGACTATTTTTTAGTCCAGAGTAATCCTCATTCATGCATCCATTGTTTATCATTCATAAAGCCTCAATCATGTATCTATCATGATAATTATACTGTAATGGATAAAATATACAAGTGACAATCCATGTCACTTGGTGTAGTCACAAAACTTGTATGAGGATTAATCAGGAAGTCTAGAAGTAGTTCTGGCAAACAAAATGGTGGACATGAAATATTTATAAGAAACTATGGTTTGAGATTTATTATACTCTAAAATCCAAGAAGTGCACATTTTCATGCTCCTTCGTTGTTCCTTGGTAAGGTAAGATCACAGGCTGGTATCGAAATATTTGTCCGCTGTGACGGAGCATGCTATTTTTCATAAAAACACTAAGAATACTTCACGATTTATTTTTTAACTAATATGTTTCGTTATACCATACAAAATTACTTACTCCATGCAATGGATATATCATTTGCGGGTAACTTTCACTTCTGTTTGAAGTCCAATTACGCTGGGAAGAAAATCTATTGAAAATGGCGCCGGAGTATCATACTTCAAAATGTACCATTTCTTGTTTAACTTTCTAATGGCACGGTATAGTGACACGATAATATTTACACATGGTTTCAGCATAACTATGAAGGTATAAATGAGATGTTGATGTATTTGGTCTTTGATTCTTTTATAAAAAATATTGTTTAATTTTTTTGTCCGCTGTGACGGAGCAGTTGCAAATGTGAACTGTGAAAATGCTCCGTCACAGCGGACAAAAAATATTAATATTATTTTTTATAAAAAAATTTAAAAGACCCAATGCATTAATATTTGATTAATACATTCAGAGTTATGCTGAAAACATATGTTAATATTATCGTGTCACTATATCATGCCATTAAAAAGTGATACTCTGGCGCCGTTTTCAATAGATTTTACTCCTAGCGTTATTGAACTTCAAACAGAAGTGGAGGTTACACGCAAATGATATATCCATTGCATGGAGTAAGTAATTATCTTTGATATAACGAAACATATGAGTTAAAAAATAAATCGTGAAGCATTCTTAGTGTTTTTATGAAAAATAGCATGCTCCGTCACAGCGGACAAATCTTTCGATACCAGCCTGTGAAGATGATTTGTTGAAATTTTGGATTCTTGCAAATGTGTGACTGTTGCAAGACTACTCCTTGAAACTTTCAAAAATTAGCCTCACTTCACACTCTTCATAGGCTTTGGGATCCATGCACCTCCAATGCATAGTTATGAAAAATGCGTTTAAATGTTAAGTTTTCTTTGACGTGTTTTTTAGTCAGGAAATGCATTTTCATATGAGGAAAACAGATAGTAAATCTTGTGAGTTTATCAAAAAATGTGGCTGCCATTTTTTGTACTTTTGATTAACTTTAATGTCACCTTAATACGCTCCAATTTCCCGGGGATAATACGATTTTTCATGTAATACACTCCAATACGATTTATTTCCCGTGGACAATACGATTTATTCATGTAATATGATTAAATACGATTTTTTTTGTTCCTTTATATTTCCCTGGGAAAACGGAAAACAGTAGTATTATGGAATAAATCTATATCTCCCCGAGGGACCGAAGGGACCAAAGGGGGATATAAATATTTCCCAAGGGATATACCCTATATCCAAAGCTGACAGTACATAACTGGTGTATCTCATACACGAATGGGTTTGGGTTAGCCGAAACAATTTCATAATGGACAGGACATGCAAACAAAATTGTCTGATATTTAAGTCAAAATTATTTTACGGCAAAATCGGCAATTAGTCGAAAACCGGGCGAAGGAAAATTGCGATGACAGGCACTATGTATACCCATAAAATGAATGTAGATATGACTAAATACGAATAACAATTTGCGCAGCCAATGTTGACAGACGGACCAACGAGTGGACTGACAGACGGACGGACGCCTAGTCGATTCAAAGACTGCATCGCTAAGGATAACCATAACTCAAATGGATGATGACTGATTTTAAGATTATATTCAATATTCACCATTGATAAAACTGTAATATCCCAAAATTTTCCATATATATCAGCAACGGTATATATTTCCGAGTGACTAACAATATTAGTTATATTATATAGCAATTCGATATCAAGAGTTTTATAGGAACATTTATCGAAGGACAGTTCTGATCACATATTTTCACAGTTCATCTTTTTCTTTTTGTTCTTTAGCTTTGAGTCTTTGCTTTTCAATATTCGCCATAAACTTTTTCCAAAATTGGTATTTCTTATGGGAAAACATTTGAGAACGAGACACTCTTGGTTTTAATATCGCAAATTCTTCTTCTTCCAAGTCATACTCCGGCCAGTGTGGGAGATCCCCGTCATTTGGATTTCTAGAAAAGCAATACTATAAGTTATTGAATGATTTGAAGTGCAATACAGGATATATTCTGCTCGAGAAATTCTGTATTGGAACGAGACGAAGTTGAGTGCCAATACAGTATACCGAGACAGAATATACCCTGTATTGCACTTCAATTCATTTAATAACATTTTTATCGTGTGATCTTAGGCCAATACATTCTACTCAGGAGATAATCCCTAAGAATTATTCTGTATTCGTACCAATATTTTCTGTATTGCTACGGAGATGATCAATGGGAACAATCTCAGTAGCAATACATATTGGTACAGCACAAGAACTGATCAATCAGAGGGCTTCATTTTGCAGATCACACGATAAAAACGTATGATGGAACACGTGGTATATGATAAAATACACGTGATAATAAGATGAAAGAAGTAATTTGATGAAGCAAATCTGTATGTTTTTCAAATGAATTAAACAATTTGAGGTTTTGTGAATTAAAAATACCCTGTTGCTGCAAAGTTGGCCCAGTACTGCATCATTTGTTTGCTGAACTCCTGTTCTGCTTCGTTGAATACATAGCCCTTTTCTTCATCTACCCAGATGTCTAGGAATCCAGTACCAAACATGAAGAAGACATCATCAAAGTGTGTGGACACAACGAACTCTGGTCTTTTAGGTTGAATGAAACTTGGATCGTGTGTGAAGACATAAAAGAAGGTCTTACCACCATTTGCTGTAAATGAAGAGACATATTTTTGTGATTGTCTGTCATTGGAAAAATAAGACAAAGCACAAGAGATATGAGAAATTATTAAAAAATCGATCGACAAAAACAATTTTTTCATTTGTGAGTTTGTGATACTTGGCAAATCAATGTAATGTGTCCTTTCGAGACACCCTGCACATATTTTAGCCCAATAAGTGTTGAGCAAAGAATGAACAAAGAACAAAACCGTATACACGAGTTAAACCAGCATAACGAATGCGTAACAATTTTCAACGAGATGCAACATGATATTAACCAACCCTTTATGGTGTCCGTCAAATTGAGAGCTGGAAAAGCCATGTTAAAGTCACCGACTATATCAACGGCCTTTACTTTGTATAGACTCTCCACTTTAGGGGAATGGTTATCTTTGAAGTACATTTTTGCAATTTTCTCTAAATGTTTATTAGTGAGGGCATCATCTTTCATCAGCATTGAGAGTCCTAGTTTTATCTCATCTAAGAAATGTGCATACGTGTAATCTGCCACTTGGGTATCCCCTATAAACACAGAAACAATCTCTTCTACGATATGAGCATAAGTATAATCTGTGACAAATTACAATTTGTTAAAAAGCTATGAAGAAATCCGAAGAAATCTTTGTTTACTACAAGGTGTCTGTGTGATAAAATGCAACTGTCCCTGTTGAATTAGTTTTAAAATGGCACTCACCTGTACCTTGAAAAAATGTATACCCTTCCTGCTCCGCCACTCCAACCATCACCTCCTTATCACTGAAATCAGTTTTAGCATACAAATCCTTAGGGTGCTCAAGGAAGAACTGCCCGCCATCCACCGTTGCCCAGTCCATATACATATTACCGTTTCCTATCTTTTTAATATCCTCGACAGATTTCATCCTCAAGCATTGCACTTGTTCCATTACTGTTTCATATTTGCAATCTGCAACCAAATATGGAGTGAAATTATGGAGATATCTCAAGGACCCGGAATCTAATATGTAACATCTAAAAACTATATATCGTGTATGATTAAACGATAAAACAACGAGAAACCGAGCCAATACACATCTAGACGAAAGTATTACCTAACTTTTCTACAGTCTCATCAAACCTCTCTTTTGGGTTGTCATTGATAAGTTTATCTGTGAGTATAGATCCACTCTGAAGAATGGCTCTCTTGAACAGGGGTTTACTTCCATGGGACACGAGATGAGCAGAAACACTCCAACTACCTAAAGAGACATTGTCATGCATGGATGGGTTCAAAAACAACTTTTTGAAATCAAAAAAAAAGTTGCACGTATCATATTTTCAAAACATTGGGTAATACTAAAATATAAGCCAAAGTGATTTAAACTTTATATGAAATCATTTTCAGCTGCCATATCAAACTGTTTTCTTTACTTTTCTCTTACCTGCCCCCTCTCCTGCTATTGTTATTCGATCTGGATCTCCACCAAATGCATGTATGTTTTCGCTTGTCCATTTCAGTGCCATCTGTTGGTCAAGGAAGCCCATATTGCCGGGAATTTGGTTATCGCCGGAGTTCAGGAAACCTGTTGAGTGTTCATGTATTGCACATTACATGCTAAATTGTCATATCTTTATTGCCCTTTTTTATTTGAAGGAGATATATTTATTATGGTACAGTATAATATGGCAATAAAATTAAAGACTGGAATGAAATCGAATGAACAAGGCATAAGAAAATTATAGTACAACCGAACCATCACGGTAAGAAAAATATGTGATAGTACCTAAATGTCCTGTTCTATAGTTGATTGATACAACCACCAAGTCTGTGAATGTACACAGAGCAGTTCCATTGTATGTATGACCAGTACCTGGAATTATCACATATGATATAGATAAAATGCTATAGATACAACCACCAAGTCTATGAATGTACACAGAGCAGTTCCATTGTATGTATGACCAGTACCTGGAATTATCACATATGATATAAATAAAATAATATAGATACATCCACCAAGTCTATGAATGTACACAGAGCAGTTCCATTGTATGTATGACCAGTACCTGGAATAATCACATATGATATAAATAGAATGCTATAGATACAACCACCAAGTCTGTGAATGTACACAGAGCAGTTCCATTGTATGTATGACCACTACCTGGAATTATCACATATGATATAAATAAAATAATATAGATACATCCACCAAGTCTATGAATGTACACAGAGCAGTTCCATTGTATGTATGACCAGTACCTGGAATAATCACATATGATATAAATAAAATGCTATAGATACAACCACCATGTCTGTGAATGTACACAAAGCAGTTCCATTGTATACGTGACCAGTACCTGGAATTATCACATATGATATAGATAAAATGCTATAGATACAACCACCAAGTCTATGAATGTACACAGAGCAGTTCCATTGTATGTATGACCAGTACCTGGAATTATCACATATGATATAAATAAAATAATATAGATACAACCACCAAGTCTATGAATGTACACAGAGCAGTTCCATTGTATGTATGACCACTACCTGGAATTATCATATATGATATAAATAAAATGCTATAGATACAACCACCAAGTCTATGAATGTACACAGAGCAGTTCCATTGTATGTATGACCACTACCTGGAATTATCATATATGATATAAATAAAATGCTATAGATACATCCACCAAGTCTATGAATGTACACAGAGCAGTTCCATTGTATGTATGACCACTACCTGGAATTATCATATATGATATAAATAAAATGCTATAGATACAACCACCTAGTCTATGAATGTACACAGAGCAGTTCCATTGTATACATGACCAGTACCTAGAATTATCACATATGATATAAATAAAATAATATAGATACAACCACCAAGTCTGTGAATGTACACAAAGCAGTTCCATTGTATGTATGACCAGTACCTAGAATTATCACATATGATATAAATAAAATGCTATAGATACAACCACCAAGTCTATGAATGTACACAGAGCAGTTCCATTGTATGTATGACCAGTACCTGAAATTATCACATATGATATAAATAAAATGCTATAGATACAACCACCAAGTCTATGAATGTACACAGAGCAGTTCCATTGTATACGTGACCAGTACCTGGAATTATCACATATGATATAAATAAAATGCTATAGATACAACCACCAAGTCTATGAATGTACACAGAGCAGTTCCATTGTATGTATGACCAGTACCTGAAATTATCACATATGATATAAATAAAATGCTATAGATACAACCACCATGTCTGTGAATGTACACAGAGCAGTTCCATTGTATGTCTGACCACTACCTGGAATTATCACATATGATATAAATAAAATGCTATATAGATACAACCACCAAGTCTATGAATGTACACAAAGCTTTTCCATTGTATTCATGACCACTACCTAGAATTATCACATATGATATAAATAAAATAATATAGATACAACCACCAAGTCTGTGAATGTACACAAAGCAGTTCCATTGTATACATGACCAGTACCTGGAATTATCGCATATGATATAAATAAAGAGCTATAGATACAACCACAAAGTCTATGAATGTACACAAAACAGTTCCATTGTATACATGACCACTACCTGGAATTATCACATATGATATAAATAGAATGCTATAGATACAACCACCAAGTCTATGAATGTACACAAAGCAGTTCCATTGTATACATGACCAGTACCTAGAATTATCATATATGATATAAATAAAATGCTAATAGATACAACCACCAAGTCTATGAATGTACACAAAGCAGTTCCATTGTATACGTGACCAGTACCTAGAATTATCATATATGATATAAATAAAATGCTAATAGATACAACCACCAAGTCTATGAATGTACACAAAGCAGTTCCATTGTATACATGACCAGTACCTGGAATTATCGCATATGATATAAATAAAGAGCTATAGATACAACCACAAAGTCTATGAATGTACACAAAACAGTTCCATTGTATACATGACCACTACCTGGAATTATCACATATGATATAAATAGAATGCTATAGATACAACCACCAAGTCTATGAATGTACACAAAGCAGTTCCATTGTATACATGACCAGTACCTAGAATTATCATATATGATATAAATAAAATGCTATAGATACATCCACCAAGTCTATGAATGTACACAGAGCAGTTCCATTGTATGTATGACCAGTACCTGGAATTATCACATATGATATAAATAAAGAGCTATAGATACAACCACAAAGTCTGTGAATGTACACAAAGCAGTTCCATTGTATACATGACCAGTACCTGGAATTATCATATATGATATAAATAAAATAATATAGATACAACCACCAAGTCTATGAATGTACACAAAGCAGTTCCATTGTATGTATGACCAGTACCTGAAATTATCACATATGATATAAATAGAATGCTATAGATACAACCACCAAGTCTATGAATGTACACAAAGCAGTTCCATTGTATGTATGACCAGTACCTAGAATTATCACATATGATATAAATAAAATGCTATAGATACAACCACCAAGTCTATGAATGTACACAGAGCAGTTCCATTGTATGTATGACCAGTACCTGAAATTATCACATATGATATAAATAAAATGCTATAGATACAACCACCAAGTCTATGAATGTACACAAAGCAGTTCCATTGTATTCATGACCACTACCTGGAATTATCATATATGATATAAATAAAATGCTATAGATACAACCACCAAGTCTGTGAAAGTACACAAAGCAGTTCCATTGTATGTATGACCAGTACCTGGAATAATCACATATTATATAAATAAAATAATATAGATACAACCACCAAGTCTGTGAATGTACGCAAAGCAGTTCCATTGTATGTATGACCAGTACCTGGAATTATCACATATTATATAAATAAAATGCTATAGATACAACCACCAAGTCTATGAATGTACACAAAGCAGTTCCATTGTATACATGACCAGTACCTAGAATTATCACATATTATATAAATAAAATGCTATAGATACAACCACCAAGTCTGTGAATGTACACAGAGCAGTTCCATTGTATGTATGACCACTACCTGGAATTATCATATATGATATAAATAAAATGCTATAGATACATCCACCAAGTCTATGAATGTACACAAAGCAGTTCCATTGTATGTATGACCAGTACCTGAAATTATCACATATGATATAAATAAAATGCTATAGATACAACCACCAAGTCTATAAATGTACACAGAGCAGTTCCATTGTGTGTATGACCACTACCTGGAATTATCATATATGATATAAATAAAATGCTATAGATACAACCACCAAGTCTATGAATGTACACAGAGCAGTTCCATTGTATGTATGACCACTACCTGGAATTATCATATATGATATAAATAAAATGCTATAGATACATCCACCAAGTCTATGAATGTACACAGAGCAGTTCCATTGTATGTATGACCACTACCTGGAATTATCATATATGATATAAATAAAATGCTATAGATACAACCACCAAGTCTATGAATGTACACAGAGCAGTTCCATTGTATGTATGACCAGTACCTGAAATTATCACATATGATATAAATAGAATGCTATAGATACAACCACCAAGTCTGTGAATGTACACAAAGCAGTTCCATTGTATACATGACCAGTACCTAGAATTATCACATATGATATAAATAAAATAATATAGATACAACCACCAAGTCTGTGAATGTACACAGAGCAGTTCCATTGTATATATGACCAGTACCTGAAATTATCACATATGATATAAATAAAATGCTATAGATACAACCACCAAGTCTATGAATGTACACAAAGCAGTTCCATTGTATGTATGACCAGTACCTGGAATTATCATATATGATATAAATAAAATAATATAGATACAACCACCAAGTCTATGAATGTACACAGAGCAGTTCCATTGTATGTATGACCAGTACCTGGAATTATCATATATGATATAAATAAAATGCTATAGATACAACCACCAATTCTATGAATGTACACAAAGCAGTTCCATTGTATACATGACCACTACCTGGAATTATCACATATAATATGAATAAAATGCTATATAGATGCAACCACCAAGTCTGTGAATGTACACAAAGCAGTTCCATTGTATGTATGACCACTACCTGGAATTATCACATATGATATAAATAAAATGCTATATAGATACAACCACCAAGTCTGTGAATGTACAAAAAGCAGTTCCATTGTATGTATGACCAGTACCTAGAATATGATATGATATAAATAAAATGCTATAGATACAACCACCAAGTCTGTGAATGTACACAAAGCAGTTCCATTGTATGTATGACCAGTACCTGGAATTATCACATATGATATAAATAAAATAATATAGATACAACCACCAAGTCTGTGAATGTACACAAAGCAGTTCCATTGTATACATGACCAGTACCTGGAATTATCACATATTATATAAATAGAATGCTATAGATACAACCACCAAGTCTATGAATGTACACAAAGCAGTTCCATTGTATGTATGACCAGTACCTGGAATTATCATATATGATATAAATAAAATGCTATAGATACAACCACCAAGTCTATGAATGTACACAAAGCAGTTCCATTGTATACGTGACCAGTACCTAGAATTATCACATATGATATAAATAAAGAGCTATAGATACAACCACAAAGTCTATGAATGTATGATATAAATAAAATGCTATAGATACAACCACCAAGTCTATGAATGTACACAGAGCAGTTCCATTGTATGTATGACCAGTACCTGAAATTATCACATATGATATAAATAGAATGCTATAGATACAACCACCAAGTCTATGAATGTACACAAAGCAGTTCCATTGTATGTATGACCAGTACCTAGAATTATCACATATGATATAAATAAAATGCTATAGATACAACCACCAAGTCTATGAATGTACACAGAGCAGTTCCATTGTATGTATGACCAGTACCTGAAATTATCACATATGATATAAATAAAATGCTATAGATACAACCACCAAGTCTATGAATGTACACAAAGCAGTTCCATTGTATTCATGACCACTACCTGGAATTATCATATATGATATAAATAAAATGCTATAGATACAACCACCAAGTCTGTGAAAGTACACAAAGCAGTTCCATTGTATGTATGACCAGTACCTGGAATAATCACATATTATATAAATAAAATAATATAGATACAACCACCAAGTCTGTGAATGTACGCAAAGCAGTTCCATTGTATGTATGACCAGTACCTGGAATTATCACATATTATATAAATAAAATGCTATAGATACAACCACCAAGTCTATGAATGTACACAAAGCAGTTCCATTGTATACATGACCAGTACCTAGAATTATCACATATTATATAAATAAAATGCTATAGATACAACCACCAAGTCTGTGAATGTACACAGAGCAGTTCCATTGTATGTATGACCACTACCTGGAATTATCATATATGATATAAATAAAATGCTATAGATACATCCACCAAGTCTATGAATGTACACAAAGCAGTTCCATTGTATGTATGACCAGTACCTGAAATTATCACATATGATATAAATAAAATGCTATAGATACAACCACCAAGTCTATAAATGTACACAGAGCAGTTCCATTGTGTGTATGACCACTACCTGGAATTATCATATATGATATAAATAAAATGCTATAGATACAACCACCAAGTCTATGAATGTACACAGAGCAGTTCCATTGTATGTATGACCACTACCTGGAATTATCATATATGATATAAATAAAATGCTATAGATACATCCACCAAGTCTATGAATGTACACAGAGCAGTTCCATTGTATGTATGACCACTACCTGGAATTATCATATATGATATAAATAAAATGCTATAGATACAACCACCAAGTCTATGAATGTACACAGAGCAGTTCCATTGTATGTATGACCAGTACCTGAAATTATCACATATGATATAAATAGAATGCTATAGATACAACCACCAAGTCTGTGAATGTACACAAAGCAGTTCCATTGTATACATGACCAGTACCTAGAATTATCACATATGATATAAATAAAATAATATAGATACAACCACCAAGTCTGTGAATGTACACAGAGCAGTTCCATTGTATGTATGACCAGTACCTGAAATTATCACATATGATATAAATAAAATGCTATAGATACAACCACCAAGTCTATGAATGTACACAAAGCAGTTCCATTGTATGTATGACCAGTACCTGGAATTATCATATATGATATAAATAAAATAATATAGATACAACCACCAAGTCTATGAATGTACACAGAGCAGTTCCATTGTATGTATGACCAGTACCTGGAATCATCATATATGATATAAATAAAATGCTATAGATACAACCACCAATTCTATGAATGTACACAAAGCAGTTCCATTGTATACATGACCACTACCTGGAATTATCACATATAATATGAATAAAATGATATATAGATGCAACCACCAAGTCTGTGAATGTACACAAAGCAGTTCCATTGTATGTATGACCACTACCTGGAATTATCACATATGATATAAATAAAATGCTATATAGATACAACCACCAAGTCTGTGAATGTACAAAAAGCAGTTCCATTGTATGTATGACCAGTACCTAGAATATGATATGATATAAATAAAATGCTATAGATACAACCACCAAGTCTGTGAATGTACACAAAGCAGTTCCATTGTATGTATGACCAGTACCTGGAATTATCACATATGATATAAATAAAATAATATAGATACAACCACCAAGTCTGTGAATGTACACAAAGCAGTTCCATTGTATACATGACCAGTACCTGGAATTATCACATATTATATAAATAGAATGCTATAGATACAACCACCAAGTCTATGAATGTACACAAAGCAGTTCCATTGTATGTATGACCAGTACCTGGAATTATCATATATGATATAAATAAAATGCTATAGATACAACCACCAAGTCTATGAATGTACACAAAGCAGTTCCATTGTATACGTGACCAGTACCTAGAATTATCACATATGATATAAATAAAGAGCTATAGATACAACCACAAAGTCTATGAATGTACACAAAGCAGTTCCATTGTATGTATGACCACTACCTGGAATTATCACATATTATATAAATAAAATGCTATAGATACAACCACCAAGTCTATGAATGTACACAAAGCAGTTCCATTGTATACGTGACCAGTAACTGGAATTATCACATATGATATAAATAAAGAGCTATAGATACAACCACAAAGTCTATGAATGTACACAAAGCAGTTCCATTGTATGTATGACCAGTACCTGGAATTATCATATATGATATAAATAAAATGCTATAGATACATCCACCAAGTCTATGAATGTACACAAAGCAGTTCCATTGTATTCATGACCACTACCTGGAATTATCACATATGATATTAATAAAATGCTATAGATACAACCACCAAGTCTGTGAATGTACATAAAGCAGTTCCATTGTATGTATGACCAGTACCTGGAATAATCACATATTATATAAATAAAATAATATAGATACAACCACCAAGTCTGTGAATGTACACAAAGCAGTTCCATTGTATGTATGACCAGTACCTGGAATTATCACATATGATATAAATAAAATGCTATAGATACAACCACCAAGTCTATGAATGTACACAGAGCAGTTCCATTGTATGTATGACCAGTACCTAGAATTATCACATATGATATTAATAAAATGCTATAGATACAACCACCAAGTCTATGAATGTACACAAAGCAGTTCCATTGTATACATGACCAGTACCTGGAATTATCACATATGATATAAATAAAATAATATAGATACAACCACCAAGTCTATGAATGTACACAAAGCAGTTCCATTGTATACATGACCAGTACCTAGAATTATCATATATGATATAAATAAAATGCTAATAGATACAACCACCAAGTCTATGAATGTACACAAAGCAGTTCCATTGTATGTATGACCAGTACCTGGAATTATCACATATGATATAAATAAAGAGCTATAGATACAACCACAAAGTCTGTGAATGTACACAAAGCAGTTCCATTGTATTCATGACCAGTACCTGGAATTATCATATATGATATAAATAAAATAATATAGATACAACCACCAAGTCTGTGAATGTACACAAAGCAGTTCCATTGTATACATGACCAGTACCTGGAATTATCACATATGATATAGATAAAATAATATAGATACAACCACCAAGTCTATGAATGTACACAAAGCAGTTCCATTGTATGTATGACCACTACCTGGAATTATCATATATGATATAAATAAAATGCTATAGATACAACCACCAAGTCTATGAATGTACACAGAGCAGTTCCATTGTATGTATGACCAGTACCTAGAATTATAACATATGATATTAATAAAATAATATAGATACAACCACCAAGTCTATGAATGTACACAAAGCAGTTCCATTGTATACATGACCAGTACCTGGAATTATCATATATGATATAAATAAAATGCTATAGATACATCCACCAAGTCTGTGAATGTACACAAAGCAGTTCCATTGTATACATGACCAGTACCTGGAATTATCGCATATGATATAAATAAAGAGCTATAGATACAACCACAAAGTCTATGAATGTACACAAAGCAGTTCCATTGTATGTATGACCAGTACCTGGAATTATCATATATGATATAAATAAAATGCTATAGATACATCCACCAAGTCTATGAATGTACACAAAGCAGTTCCATTGTATTCATGACCACTACCTGGAATTATCACATATGATATTAATAAAATGCTATATAGATAGTAGATACAAACACCAAGTCTGTGAATGTACACAAAGCAGTTCCATTGTATGTATGACCACTACCTGGAATTATCACATATGATATTAATAAAATGCTATATAGATAGTAGATACAACCACCAAGTCTATGAATGTACACAAAGCAGTTCCATTGTATTCATGACCACTACCTGGAATTATCACATATGATATTAATAAAATGCTATATAGATAGTAGATACAACCACCAAGTCTGTGATTGTACACAAAGCAGTTCCATTGTATGTATGACCAGTACCTGAAATTATCACATATGATATAAATAAAATGCTATAGATACAACCACCAAGTCTATAAATGTACACAGAGCAGTTCCATTGTGTGTATGACCACTACCTGGAATTATCATATATGATATAAATAAAATGCTATAGATACAACCACCAAGTCTATGAATGTACACAGAGCAGTTCCATTGTATGTATGACCACTACCTGGAATTATCATATATGATATAAATAAAATGCTATAGATACATCCACCAAGTCTGTGAAAGTACACAAAACAGTTCCATTGTATGTATGACCAGTACCTGGAATTATCACATATGATATAAATAAAATGCTATAGATACAACCACCAAGTCTGTGAATGTACACAAAGCAGTTCCATTGTATACATGACCAGTACCTAGAATTATCACATATGATATAAATAAAATAATATAGATACAACCACCAAGTCTGTGAATGTACACAGAGCAGTTCCATTGTATGTATGACCATTACCTAGAATTATCACATATTATATAAATAGAATGCTATAGATACAACCACCAAGTCTATGAATGTACACAGAGCAGTTCCATTGTATACATGACCAGTACCTAGAATTATCACATATGATATAAATAAAATAATATAGATACAACCACCAAGTCTGTGAATGTACACAAAGCAGTTCCATTGTATGTATGACCAGTACCTAGAATTATCACATATGATATAAATAACATGCTATATAGATACAACCACCAAGTCTGTGATTGTACAAAAAGCAGTTCCATTGTATGTATGACCAGTACCTAGAATTATCACATATGATATAAATATAATGCTATATAGATACAACCACCAAGTCTATGAATGTACACAGAGCAGTTCCATTGTATACGTGACCAGTACCTGGAATTATCATATATGATATAAATAAAATAATATAGATACAACCACCAAGTCTATGAATGTACACAAAGCAGTTCCATTGTATGTATGACCAGTACCTGAAATTATCACATATGATATAAATAAAATGCTATAGATACAACCACCAAGTCTATGAATGTACACAAAGCAGTTCCATTGTATACATGACCAGTACCTGGAATTATCACATATGATATAAATAAAATGCTATAGATACAACCACCAAGTCTATGAATGTACACAAAGCAGTTCCATTGTATGTATGACCACTACCTGGAATTATCACATATGATATAAATAGAATGCTATAGATACAACCACCAAGTCTATGAATGTACACAAAGCAGTTCCATTGTATACATGACCAGTACCTGGAATTATCACATATGATATAAATAAAATGCTAATAGATACAACCACCAAGTCTATGAATGTACACAAAGCAGTTCCATTGTATGTATGACCAGTACCTGGAATTATCACATATGATATAAATAAAATGCTATAGATACAACCACCAAGTCTATGAATGTACACAAAGCAGTTCCATTGTATACATGACCAGTACCTGGAATTATCACATATGATATAAATAGAATGCTATAGATACAACCACCAAGTCTGTGAATGTACACAAAGCAGTTCCATTGTATGTATGACCAGTACCTGGAATTATCACATATGATATAGATAAAATAATATAGATACAACCACTAAGTCTGTGAATGTACGCAAAGCAGTTCCATTGTATACATGACCAGTACCTGGAATTATCGCATATGACACAAATAAAATGCTATATACTGCTAGATACAGTCAAAATTTCAGTGAATGTGTTCCATTGTATGTACCAATGCAGATTTTAGTAATTCATTAGTAGACCGCTATCACGTAGAATTTTGAATGGAGATATGTTACTTGTGATGCGTCAGTTTGTTTTTAAAGACTGTAGACTCTAGTGGGTAGGAAGAAGTACATACCAAAACTAAGCCCACCCCCATGTATCCAAAACATTACTGGTAGTTTTCCTTTTGTGTTGGGGGTGAAGACATCCAATTGTAGGCAATCTTCAGAGTATATGTCAAAGCGTTGTTTTGTTGGTATTCTATTGTCGCAGTAGGATTCCGCAAACGGTTTATAAAACGCATCATTTTCAATACACGAATGACCTATAAAGCATTAATAACAAGGTGTTAACATAACAAAATGTCCCACCTAGTTGTTCACAACAAAGTTGCTCATATTATGAGTTCAATCAGAGAAGGTCATTGAAGGTCAAATCCCAATTTTAAAGTCAGATTTAAACTTCTGAGATCTTGTAGATGATTTTAAAAAAATTTAGTCAATTTGAAGCAAGTTGAAAAAAGACCTTTTAGACCTTTTTTTACCTTCAGATGGTCATTGAAGGTCTAATCTCAAATCTAATCAGATTTGAACTTCTGAGAACTTGTAGATGGTTTTGAAAATAATAAGTCAGTCTAAACAGTACTTGATAACAGTATTTGATAATCAATTTGGTCATTCTTTTCTTTTGATGTTTTGAGTATCTTTTAATTGTTCAACATTAAAAAGGCAAATACAATGCAACATGGTCTTTCCCTAAAAGAACCATCCTAATGGTAAATAACCAATCCAAGCCTTACCTAACTTTGTGGCGTCTCTGACACCACTCCAGCCTCTTGCGGCAGTTGGTTTAGCGAACCTGTTGTAATGTGTAGGAGGTTCTGCATAGCGAATGTTATAGAAGGCATACACTGGTTTGGTGCTGTTTATAGCATAATGCACAGTTCCTCTTACTCGACCAAGCTTAGTCTTCACCACCGGATCGGGGTCAACATCATAGATTGGTTCGGTTGACGCACAAAATACTGTAATATAATATAGAGTAAATTAAAACCTAGAGGATAACAAAAAATAAAGAGATCGGTCAATTTGAGAAATAAAAAGGATTCGAACACCCAAAGTCTGACGTTCTACAAAACTACATCCTGAGCTGACTAAGTGAAGAACGTTTATACGGAATTGTATTTTGACCATTTGACCAATACAATGATGGATATGTACAAAGATCTCTTATGATCTGCACTCCCGGGTCTGCACTTGTGCTTTTGAGATATTCCAGGCCCCTTTCTCTATTTCATTTCGAAGTTTGGGTCCAAGAAAGAACAACGATAGAAACAGAGTGGATAAAGAATAGTTATAAAATATTAAAAAGTCATAAAAACTTATAAATCATAGATTTAATAATATTTACTTATCTTTCATTGAACACTTTAAATGTATGTATAAAAATATTTTTGGAATCTTACCTACAGTGTGTATCACAAGAAGAATACTTAGTAGTTGAAGACTTCTTAAGTCCATGCTGTAGCGTATGTTTAATCTTAAATACACGTGTCAGTACCTCTATTTCGCGAACCAGTTCATTTATATTTTACATATTAATTAGAAAAGTATTTATATTTTGTCTGGGACCCTCGCTTTATTGACTCATGATACTCTGCGTTTGTTTATTAACTTTCTAGTTAAAGCTCGAAGTTCAAAACAACAGATAAGTAAACGTCTGAGTAAACCCAAATCCACATTATTCAGTAAGGATAACTCACATAAAATGATATGAGTTATCTTTGAAAAATGAAAACGAAATACATCAATGGATTTTTTTACTTCTATTGTAGCCCGAATATATAATTTGTTTCACGCTTTGGAAAATTTGATATGTACTATTTTACTTAGCGTCAGTTACCCCAATGTCTGCGGGGGGGGCCTATCGATTTTTTCGACAGTACTCTCTGCTAGTTGTTTTGTGCCTCTGGTACCTCCTTACCTTGAGAGACTGATAAAAGGCACTTTTTGGCGTAAAAATCAAGGTATTTGGATGTAAAGACTAGGCAAAATTATAAAGGTCGAAAGTTGATACCAATAAAAATGAAATTCATAAAATATTAATTTATTGTTACCTTGTTCCTAATGCTGTAGAATATGCAAAGTGATCATTATTGCTCTGTTTTGTAAATATTAATTGATAAGCACAAATAATCCCCTTTCCAAATGCTTGATTTCATGAAAATCGAGCAACTATCTATTGACTTTTGACCGTACAAAGTGGATGGAGGGGGTAAGTAACGTGTATATAAGACATGATAAGACATGCTACTTGAATTTATTCTTATAACTCCAAATTTTCCCATTTTTCATTCTCCAGAGATATAATATGCAGTTTCTTACTGGGGTACTGAGTTTAGTTTTTTCAAATACACGAGCTCTTGTGAATTTGTTCCATTGTAGAGACATATAACTCCCCCCTCCATCCACCCCCCCCCCCCACCCCCCCCCCCCCGTCCATTCAATATTAATTTATTTCGATAATTTTTTGCATAACACACTACTTTAAGAAGTGGGCAATGTCATTAGTGTTGTGATAATAACGTCCCTTATACCTATTTATTACAGGTCGTATAGACCATAGTTAGTTGAATGATTTATAGCAAAAACATTGACTTTTGCACGTTGGGGATGATGCGCCTTTTTAATAGATCTCATATCTTAGAAGCGTATCAGTCAGTTCAAAAAAATACTAGAAGACCTAACATATTTTGCCATGCAGTGCTGGCCATTCTGTTGTAAATTTTATCTTGAAAAAATAAATCGCCTACCCCCCCCCCCTCCATTTTGTACGATCACCGGGCGTGATGTTAATGCATTCAAAATACAAAACATAGACTGCCAAAGTTAAAAACATTGGTGGCAAGTGTCTGTTTAACGAAAAATAGTTTTCTGGAACGGGTGATGTGTATAACTCTTACTTATATGTTAGTTATATCTGCGGACACTGAAAATAGTTCGGTTGAACATATGGGCACATGGGTCAGTATTTCGGCAATATTTATTTATTATGTCTTGTCCCACATTATTTGAGACTTGGTGCTCTATTTAACATGAATACTTTAGCTTGTATCGAATGAAATGAAATGAAACATTATCTGATCTAAACCTCATTGGAACAAAATGACATGATAAACACAACGTGTATAGGTCTCTCAGTATTGTAATTGTACAAAGGGAAGTTTGGTTGATTTCAAAAAAAGTATCTTGTTAATGACATAAAAGGTTTGTCCTGATTTTTGTCTATTTTGGGGGTTTTTGTTTTAATTTTTTGAATACTTTTTGTGAAATCAACCAAACTTTCCTTTGTATAAATATAATATTGAGAGGTCTAAGAAAATGTTGAATATGCTATTTTGTTCCAACAAGGTTCGGAAATATATTTTGTTTCATTCTCAAGAATTGGTAGAAAGGAACAAAAAACAACTGAACTAAAAAACATAAAAATGTTAACAAAAACAGTTTTATAAAATATATATGAATAATTTTCGCATAAAATTGTTGTCAATCAGTCAAGATTACATAAAGGTCCAATCCCCTTGACAGTAGTCGATTCGTTCTCTTTTTCTCCGTAAAGAATCTTGCGTAATTAGAGCATGTTATGAATTTTTTTTACATAAGAATGACGTAAGATGTGAGGAATATGTCTGTCAGGTTGATTAAAACATCACATGGATGTGACGTATTCACTGAGATAATAATCTCAGTAGATGGTGGAAAAAATTGCATCATGAAACGTAAGATGTAAACCGAAGGAGTAATTATCCAGTCAACTATGAATTACTACGGCTTATCTGCTCTCGTAGTTCCATTCCATTATTTTACCAAATGTTCTCAAGTTCAATTGGTGGAGTGAGGCTTTATTTGGTGGTGTGACACCAAATATTAAACCAGAATAAAAACGATTCAATAAATAAATAAAAATCGTATCACTTGAGATGTAAAAGATACTAATAACCGTGTAGTTTTATGTGTTCCTTATTCTGAGATTGAATAAATTGCTCAAACGATTTATTTTATTGCTTCCATTTAACATGCTTAAAATATATTTTAGTTTGAGACTATTTTCCAATATGGCGGCCTCTCAAAGAGAAAATTTGACAACAACCAAGAGTTGGAATGCTTTACAGCGTTATTTCAGCGAAAATGGACCCAAAATCAATCTTCCACAAATGTTCAAAGATGACCCTAATAGATTCCAGAAGTTCAGGTAAAATTATTTTGTACTTTTTGAGAAACTGCGGTCGATGTACTTGACCTTCGTTTGTCCCCGGCAAGTTTGCCGGCAAATAATTTCTTTTCACAGATCAGCCAGATCCAGCCCCCATAGAAAGTAGACTCGCGACTATGCCTGTAATCTTTTCTTCATATTTTGTTAAAATGGTTACATGATATCAATTATTGACGCTAAAAGAGTTATTCCAGGACAATAATTTTGTTGTTGTTGTGTTGCATAAGCCGCTTTTTCCTCGGCTAGATCTAGTAGAGACCTGTTGCAAGACTTTTAGCACGGACATCTAATATGTTCTTCGAACAGGAATGATATCAATAACAGGACTGGCAACCAGATCAAAGTATTTTTCAAGACCGTTTGGCTATTTATCCCTATTGACTCAGTTGTTCATATAAATTTACGTACCTTAGATGCTTTGTAATCGACGTAGATAGAAAATATTGTTTCCTAAATTGTTCTGAAAAGCGATAATTATTACTAAATGTACTTTGAACAGGTCGACTGACAAAAAAGTGGGGCTTCTGGCACAAGGTCACGTGACCTATTCGGGAGGTCACAGGAGGTTACGAGAACTAAATTCAAATTTCCCAAACAATCATTATTTCACCAATCAACGTCGAGATAAGATTGATGACGTCACCGCCATCGGTCAAGGTCAGGTCAAAAGTCATCCATCTTGCCATTTGCCCAGCGGATTCTTACCAGTCGACAAAAAACGATGAAATCACGTTAAAAATAAAATATACACTTTAAAATTGAGGCTGATTGAATATGACAAGACTCCATTGAATACAGCTGTGCAATTTACAGTCACCAAGATGAGCTAATTTCGGAGAGATTTGGGAATTAAAAAAGGTAACTTCATTTTTTTCATTCGTGTTTCCCAACTTCAAGAATTTGGAATCCCAATCTCATTTCGCCAGAACATTCTCTCTGACTGTGACTTTTAGTCAAAACAGAAATTATCATCTCTTCCAAATACATATTTTCGGGAAAATTAACATGGCTGAAACTCCCTAAATTACAAAAGGCCACAGCTTTGCTGCACATTATACATTACTATCTGAAATATACAAAAGTTAAAATCAAAACACAAATTCTCCGGATAAGTTCATATGGCTCATATGGTTAAAATAACGAAATAATGAAATGTTACCGTGTGTCTACTTAGCAGTTTGTTCTATGTCATCCCTATGTCATATTCCAAATAAAAGTAAATGATCACATAGGCTAAACAAACCGTGGTTATTGTTTTTACAGAATTTATAGAAACGTCATGATGTTTCTTGGTAATTTCTGGGGTGACATCATTAGGCAGTCCAACTGTCCCACAATTTGCATATATGTCACGCATTTGCTGAAAAATTAATTGACAGGCCTGCATCATCCGGAGTGGTGTCACAGAATAAATATGTGATCTTCGGAATGAACATCAAGATCACCGGAAACTGCCAAAATAAATAAAAGTGACATTGGGAGATCACTGCTTCTGTAACTGCAACCAGATGGTGATATTTTATCAGATTGATACCTTGTTCAGGCCCATAGCCAGGATTTGCCAAGGGGGGTTCACTTTTTGGAAAGATTCCAGGGGGTTCACTTTTGACAATTTTGGTAGAAAAATGGCCAAATCACTCAGAATGGTGAAACACTGCATGATTTTGAAAGAATTTTTGGCCAGGGGGGGGTTCGCTCGTACTCATCGACCCCCCCCTCCCTCCCCGGCTACGGGCCTGTTGTTTTACAAGTATTACAGAAGTATACATGTAGTAACTTCCTGTATAGTCCCTTAATTCTTTGCTTATAGTGTGACCGTGGGCACAGATGGAGGGGACCTGCTACTGGATTACTCAAAAAATCTTGTTAATGAGGATGTAATGACCAAGCTTTTTGATCTGGTAAGTTATCAATCAATTAATCAACCTATAATTACATCCATTATGTCATATAAGTATGAGACTCACATTATAATCAATTATGTAAATGTATAATTAGTGCCGTCCATTAATTTAAGTTACAAGCTGTGCAAAGTTAATTTAATTCTATCAAATTGAATCTTCATCATTATCACTATCATTATCAGACCCATGTGTGAATTCATCAAAATTGTGGGAAAATTTGCTAGTGTAAACATTGCTGAATCACCTTGTCCTTCTTATATTTTATAAGACGATTACCCTTATCTCCTTATATTTACTATAAAAATAGAAACAAAGCAACTGAAGTCAATAAAATTATCAATCGTGTATATGGACTAAACTTATATTGCATTTTTGTATGCAATGTTTGAGTAAAATGTTTTTTTGTTTTGTTTTTTTTCTTAGTCGGAACTTAATTTTTTTCAAAAATGGTCTCCATATCCAAATGTATGGCTGCCTCTCGAAATAAAACCCATATTCAATCCATCTCAGTGAATTAAACCTACAGTGAATGTTGTTGTTCTAGGCCAGAGAGAGGAATGTCGAAGAGATGAGAGATGCCATGTTCAATGGTGAGAAGATTAACTTTACTGAGCAGCGAGCAGTCCTCCATACAGCCCTAAGGAACCGCTCTAATACACCAATCATGGTCAATGGAGCTGATGTAAGTTTATTAGCTCTTAATTACTGTTTTTGTTATGTATCAATGGGTCCTCATCTTTAGTGAAGAATTGCTTTGTCTAAAAAGAAGTCACATTCCAGAATTCTCCATTGCAACCTCAAGTGTATTAGCTCTAGTAGGACACTCAGCTGATATATTTCCTCCAGAAGGGATGCTCCCCGCAATAAGCTTATATTCTACAGTTGGAATAAATTATATAACTGAATTAGTACAATCCGCGAATAACTAATGCAATATAAGAAAAATTTTACAGTATTCCGAGGGGAATTTATGATATCTCTCCTGGACCATCATTTTTGAGGTGTCTGTGTGTGTGTGCAATCCTAAAAATACAACTGATCTGATGAAATAGTGCACTAATTTAAAATGCCCTGAATTTTTCCATTCAATTCCATGATAAATCCTGATTTGATGAATGAAGTACAATCAGTTCAAAGGTCCCATTATGACTTACTGTATTCCTGGTATTGTATGCACAGAATACAATGTTTTAAAAATTTGTGTTTATTTCCAGGTTATGCCAGGCGTGAATGCAGTATTGGCTCATATGAGAGAGTTCACCGAGGCTGTAAGGAGTGGAGCATGGACTGGATATACGGGAGAGAAGATAACTGATGTGGTCAACATTGGAATTGGGGGATCTGATTTGGTGAGTTCTTATACATTGAACGTTTTTAGCCTGCTTGTCTGTTTGTCTGGCTGTCTGTCAGTCCACCCGTCTGCCACAAATTGGTGGTACATTTACTCCTTCGACTCAATTCATATGGTTTCACAAACAAAAAGTCCCTATATAAGCAACCACACTTATTGCTTTTTTGCACTCTTAAACACAGAGACAGGTTCAAGTTCACTTTGCCTCAAATGTTTAAATCCAGGGCCCTTACATGGTAACAGAGACACTGAAACCCTATTCCAAGGGAGGCCCTAAAGTTCATTTTGCCTTAAATGATTAAATCATGTATTTATCATTCCAGGGACCTTACATGGTAACAGAGACACTGAAACCCTATTCCAAGGGAGGCCCTAAAGTTCATTTTGCCTTACATGATTAAATGTATTTATCATTCCAGGGACCTTACATGGTAACAGAGACACTGAAACCCTATTCCAAGGGAGGCCCTAAAGTTCATTTTGCCTTAAATGATTAAATGTATTTATCATTCCAGGGACCTTATATGGTAACAGAGGCCCTGAAACCCTATTCCAAGGGAGGCCCTAGAGTTCATTTTGTCTCCAATGTAGATGGAACCCACTTTGCCAAAGTTAGTGAGCTGCTGAACCCTGCAACTACTCTCTTCATCATTGCATCTAAGGTAACCACAGACAGAGCCTACATGTATGTTACTAAATGTTATTGGGGGGGGGGGGGCTGGGATATCAGGTGTATCCATAAGGAGATAAATTTTTTTCCTGATATGTGAAACCTACCAAGAAACCTTGTACATGTATTTGACTTGCACTTTCTTTTTTGATTACTTGAAGTTGTAATTCTTTTGTTCTACAAGGTCACACCCAACACATTTTTTATTTTGAATAAATAGGAACTCATGTATTTTAAATTACAAGTATTACAAATTCATGTACTTTAAACTTATTACAATTCATGCATCGTAATGTTAATACATTTTATTAATTTTGTAGACATTTACAACTCAAGAGACAATAACAAATGCCACATCTGCCAAACTCTGGTTCTTGGAAGCAGCGAAAGATGTAAGTTCATGATTATTTAGAAAGTGCTGGCTCTTTATTATAAAACCTCAAATCTATTTCACATCAATTCATTGCATGTAAAATTGTACACATATAGAAGAAATTGCTTGTGGGCTTAATATCCCCCTTTCTTTATAATATAACCTTAAACTTATTTCAGGACTAATCTTTATAATTTTCATATTGCAAAGATTGATACTGATTTTTCAGATATTAGAACATTGAAATATGATTGATTGATTTATTGACTTTGAGTCTATTATTTCCAGGAATCCGCAGTTGCCAAACACTTTGTTGCTCTATCAACAAACTCTGTAAGTATCTATACTGGGAAAAGTTTGACACGGTTAAGGCTGTAATTTTTGAAAAATTTGTTTTGTAAAAGTTTTTTACATGTACCGTTCTTTATCTGTCCAGCTTCAAAAATATAAAATAAAGTTCAGAAAAGTGATAACTATACTTAGCATTTATTAACAAGCAAAATGTCATGTCTTCCAAGAAAAAAGAACCTTTTAAAAAAATCTTTGTCAGTTGCTTGAAAAAGATTTACATAGTTAATTGCAAATCATTGTAAACATTATAAACAACATTAACTGTACACATAAATAACGTGCAAAATAACACAATAAAATGTAATACCAATGTCTGAGACATCTGTATGTTTTTGGGCGGCAACACCCTATGCATTGTACTTTGTATCATGTCCATGTTTGACTTATGTTTTTTCTGGTTCTTTTACAGGTTTTAGTGAAGAAGTTTGGAATTGATGAGAAAAATATGTTTGAATTCTGGGATGTAAGTATGATTTAATATACTTGTAAGAGAATGCTACCATCAAATTGGTTCAATGTAAGATTATAGTAACGTGAATATGGATCAGTGCAGAGTATGGTACCATGGATATTGTTCATTGTTATGAAATGGTACCACAGTATGATTCAATCTAGAATATGGTACCATGAAAATGGTTCAATGTAAGATTATTGTACCATGAATTCATTTTGAATAATGTACTTACATAATAAGATTAAAAAGAAATCTGTTTTTCTTAAATGTAAATGATTTTATCAAACAAAAGATTTAATGTTACATCAAAAATATGTTACATGACACATGTAATTGACATATCGTAAATGAGCAATTATTATTGTATATGGACATTTCTTTTTGCATTGCAGTGGGTGGGAGGAAGATACTCACTCTGGTCCGCTATAGGACTTTCCATTGCAGTAAATATAGGTCAGTGATTTAACAATTTTACACTTGTGTATATCTTTGGATGTTGACCAGAGTACTTTTTGCACCGCTTCACTTTCTTAGAATTCCTATTTCTGACTTGAAAGCAGCCATTTGTTCTATCTTATGTATTCTTTAACTGATTTTACTATGAATAAATATTAATACAATAAATAAGCCCATATAATGTTGTAAATTTGTAATGAAAACTGATACAAATTATTTTGAAAGTGAATTGAATTGAATACTTGAGCAGGCATGGACAACTTTGAAGCTCTCCTGTCTGGTGCTCACTTTATGGACCAACACTATAGGACTGCCCCTCTTGAGAAGAATCTGCCTGTTTTACTAGCACTACTGGGGGTCTGGTACTCTAACTTTTATGGGGCAGAGAGCCATGCTTTGCTACCCTATGACCAGGTAATGGCTTAACTAATGTGAATATCACTTCCACACAATCAGGGAGACTTTTTGAAAACTTTTTAAGTTTAAAAATTCTAAAAAGGGCAGTATGATTCTCATCCTAAGAAACTCATAAAGTTTTTTTTATTTTATTTATACTATCCATTCCTTGCATCGTTACTGACAAACATTGAAAAAGTACATTGTTGACAAATTTCAAATAGAATTAATTTGTAACAGCTTTTTCAATTCTTAAAGGAAATCGATTCACTTCCTACATGAATGCTTTTATCAGCTCAATTAATTACCTAAAAGAGTATTTATGTGCAAATCCCAGTTTCATTTATAAACCTAAGGGGACAAGGCTGAGTGGTTCACAACTTGTATTAAAGGCTATGGACTACTTGTCTCTCTGACCAGGAGCCCTTGTTTGGAGGAACAATTTCTAGTCTTTCCCTGATTTATGAAAAGCCCAGTTGTCCATAAGACAGGCTACATGTGGAATTTGCACTTTACAACATGATTTTCCATTCCATTCCAGTATATGCATAGGTTTGCTGCCTACTTCCAACAAGGTGACATGGAGTCTAATGGAAAATATGTCACCCGTAGTGGTCAAAGAGTTAACTACACTACAGGCCCTATTGTATGGGGTGAGCCAGGAACTAATGGCCAACATGCCTTCTACCAGTTAATACACCAAGGTAATTCAATTTCGCATAAACTCCATTTTACACTTACATGTACTTTCTAGCATTCAATTAGCAACTAATAATTAACGAAATTGGTAATATTTTCAAAACTTTGTGTGGATACTGTATTTACAGGTTATACAATATAGTAGAATTAATAGTTAAGAATCGAATGCCTTGTTGAAACGACATTTCCTCAATTTCTTTTTCCATTTTTCTAAACTATTTTTAATGCAATATACCCAAAACAGGGTTTGTATATGTATTGTAACTTTTAAAGAAATGCAGCATTTGTACTTAACACAGTTTACACTGTAGACAGCTCATTGTGACATCATATATTCCAGGAACTCGTCTCATCCCATGTGACTTTCTGATTCCTGTTGAGACTCACAACCCTGTACAAGATGGTCTCCATCATCAGGTATTTATATTGTATATTCCAGATCTTGTTCTCATGTGTACATTTCAGTTAGGTCTTATTCTCATATTATCATTGGAAGCCTAATGTTCTCTACAACTTACAACAACATTTTAGTGTCATAATATAATACATTCCAGATCTTGTTCTCATATATTCCATTTAGATTTTATTAATAATACACTTCAAATATTTTATTACCCTACCAGATCATATTCTCTATTGTAGATTTCAGATGTTACATTGTACATTTCAGTTTATGTTCTCTATTGTAAATTCCAGATGTTATATTGTACATTTTAGTTTATGGTCTCTATTGTAAATTCCAGATCTTACTATCAAACTTCCTGGCTCAGACTGAGGCTCTGATGAAGGGCAAGAGCAGAGATGTTGCAGAGGCAGAACTGAAGACATCTGGTATGAGCCCAGAAGATATAGCTCACATTCTTCCACATAAGGTACAATTATTAATTGGTTAGGAATATTTAATAGACGTTGTAGATTATGGTGGCATAAGGGCATATAAGAAGAATCTATGTCAATGAATGAGGCAAGTGAAGTTCATTAGACATTGTTCATCATTAATTGGGTGTTTTCTGATCATTGTGAAAAGCTTGAAATCATGAAATCATTGAGGGCTTTGGCAATGGGTAGACCAAATCCTCATGAATCTCATGCATTTTGCATGTTTGGTGTTGTGTTATTAATTTAGTAGTCAAGCATTATAATATCCTATTACAGATCACTAATTTATTGTACACACTAGTATCTTGTTGACCAGTGCTCTCATCATACAAGAATATAAAATAGTGTACATGTAGATAGCTGGAAGTGGGGGAATCTTGCTTTTTATAGCTATGAGTGAGGACAGTGTGTTATATTTCAGGTGTTTGAGGGTAACAAGCCAAGCAACTCTGTCATCTTCCAGAAGTTGACTCCATTCAATCTAGGCATGCTTATTGGTAAGTTGCAAACTGACTTTTGTTACTTTACGAATATGTTCATTACTGTTTGATTATCTGCCCATTTGTGAGAGCTCTCATGCGACTTTTAAGCTATTGACAGTGTCTAGTGTCTACATGTAAAGATATGCTCAGTTTACTTTAGATTCTGTTTTCCTGTTCTTTACACTTACACATATTTTTATTTTTTCTAGTTTTTCATTTTTTTCATAGTTATGTGAAATAGGATTATTTCCTTGTCAGTTCTCACAGCTCATAAACTGTACTTAATATGTTTATTTATATGTAATATGTTTTCAGTTTTGTATGAACACAAGATCTTCACCCAGGGGGTCATCTGGGACATTAACTCCTTCGATCAGTGGGGGTGAGTATGCTGGGATCTATTCACTGTCTTTATTTAATAGGCCTTTACAAGATTGAATATGCAATATGATTCCAAATTATAAATGTAAAGGACGATTCTCGGTTTGGAGAACGAAGTTCATCAATCTTAATGAGCATTATCCCTGCTTCGGACAAATTTGATTTTTTTACATAATATAGATTTGAATGTCTTCTTTTGAATAGTCATAATTTAATCTGGGTAATATTTCTAGATTTTTCGCCAAAAAAATATTAGCGCGGTACACTGATGAACTTCTTTCCCCAAATCGAGACTTGTATTTTATTGAATCGGTCAAATTGAGCCTTATCCCTGCTTCAGGCCAATTTGTTATTTTTACATCTTGTAGATTTAAATGTCCTCTTTTGAATATTCATAGTTTAATTTGGGTAATATTTCTATATTTTTCATTAAAAAAATTATTAGCCCAGGAGACTGTTCTCCAAACCGAGAATCGTCCTTTCAATTGAATATGCATTAACATTATTTGATCACGATTTTTGAATGTATATGTCAAAGATGTCACAGGTTTATGTCAACACAAATTCCCAAATTCCTCTACAATGACCAGTGATCTCCCCAGGGTGCAAAATTCTCATTTTCACAATTCAGACCAAAATTGGTCAAAATATGCCAATATTTCATGATTTTTCTCATTTTCAAGTGGGTGCAAATGAATTTTCAGGTGGGTGCAAGCCTATTTTCAAAATCTCAGCTGGGTGAATCGCCCACTTGCTTTAGTACTGGAGAGATCACTGATGACTATTTGAATATTTACATTAAATGAACCTCTATAAGTGAAACACCAAAGATGGTTCACATACGCAAGTTTTACTTTAATATATGCATCATATGTTTGCAGTGTTGAGCTTGGTAAGCAGCTAGCAAAGGTCATCCAACCAGAACTTGGGGATGCCACACCAGTAGACAATCATGATTCATCTACTAATGGACTCATCAATTTCATTAAATCTCATAGGAAGTAATGCTAGGGACATTAGGTTGTGATAATTCAATAGGAGTAAGGGGAGTAAAGGGGAGTCTGTGAGAGTGAATGTATTCATGATGTATTGCAGTGGCATAGTTGTCTCATTTAGAGAAGGGGGCGCATTGAGGTGGTCAAATTATGAATACCTGGCAGGATCATTGCTCCTCTCCTTGATTGCACAATCAACAGTGAATATTGTTTAGTTATCTTTCAAATAAGCAGAATGATTAGAATTAACTCCAGTGCACTTTAATGCTATTTGTTCTTAACCCTTCACCATTGATGTCAGTTGATGTACTAATGAGATGTTTAGAATCATTTGGAGAATGTATTTCTGCATCACTCGCACATTTCCCCATTGCTTCCTAATGAATGATATATGCATTTATCGATCAAATCACAAATTGAGATATGAATGTATAGGGATACTTATGAAATAAGCCCTGCCCCTTTTTGTCTAGTCTAGCAACAAGTATGATACTGCATGATGGAGTACTCACATATATGGATTAAAGCTCAATATTTGAACATTTCCATCACATTTATCTGAGTTCACTATTATGTCATGGATCATTCTCCTATTTATGTGGACATGTAATGTAGATTAGTACATTATATTCGGAAGTACATTAGTGAAGTGATTATTGATTACTATAATCAGTATATTTATTGGTCTGTTACTCTGCAAATCAATTTGTTGCTTAAACTTTGCAGTGTTGGGTTAGAGTTAAACAGTGTGTTGTTCAATACAATATTTGTATTTCTCATAATGTTCAACCTCCAATAATACATCATGCACAAGACGTCAGGCTCAATATGACCTAATATGGTCTCGGAATGATGCTGTTCACAAAACAGATCGATTACAAAAGAGAAATAGAAAACTGTTAAACCATGTTGAACAAATTGGACCCAGCTAAAGCTCCATGGTCTTATATATGAGAGTACAGTGAAACCTGTAAAATGGAACATCTCTAGAAGTGGAACACTTCTGTCAGTGGAACACTTTTCAGTCCCAAGATCAAATGACTTAATGTTAAATGAACCTCTATAAGTAGAACATCTCCCAAGTGGAACACTTTTAAGAGGTACCAAAGGTGTTCCACTTAGACAGGTTTTACTGTAGCTTACTTAGTTTTATAGCTGGATAGTCTTATAGATGGAAATCATTGATCTGGTGATAAATTGTAAGACATTATTTTGTACCTTGTGGGTTGAACTGAAATTTAGCTTACAGAAACAAGAGAGCTACTTAATTTAAATCCTAGTCTTGGTGAAGTGATATTACATGAAGACATTAGTAATCTCAAAATACTAAATGCCAAATATAAAATATGTTCAGATTGTTATGGTGCCAAAATAACAGTTGTCAATGTTAAAGAAATGGTGAATACTGATATGTCAAATGCATCAGATCAACAGTAATAGGTCTTCATAAATATCAATTGATGAAATTTGTAGTTCACTTTCATATAAATAAATCATGTGCAATTATGTAAATGTGTTTGATCTAATGTTAACAGACTATTACATTGAGTATCAGCATCTACATTGAGCAGTCTAGCTAGGTGCCATGGAATGTATGTACATTTTAATATGCTGTGTGTGGTGTAATTGGTTATAAATAAAAAAAAACAGGTTACAGCAATAAACATCAATTTAGTGTCATTTTTGATAATTATTAGAGAGTAAGTTTCCATCATTGAGGTGATTCAATGTAAAGTCAATGGAAAGGTACATGTAGGTATTGCACACAATTTCCACTTCTCGAACCACCAAATGCAAAACATGGACTGCCTATCATAAATAAAGGACAGTTTGGAACCTTCAGAGGAATGTATATCCTGACTTTCAAACAAAAATATTGATTTGGATTTGTAGTCTCGAGCTTTGAGAAACTAGATAGCACAGTTGTGTGACCTAGTTTGATGACCTTTGACCTTGAAAATTTTACTTATTCAGAGCTCAGTAAGGTCTTTTGTGATTAAGCTGACCAAAATTTACATCCAAAAATCAACTTTTTGACCTTTCGAAGGTCAAGTAAAGGTCAAATCCTAAAACTAATGTCAGATTTGAACTCCTGGCAACTTGTAGATGATTTTCAAAAAAAAATTGGTCAAATTGAAGCAATTTTCACATTTTTTCACACGTACCTTTCTCATATACCATAACGATTTTGCAAAGCCGGCATATCGTTCTTTCCGGGAGAGGAACACCATCTCTCGTTGGAAATCCAAAATAACCCCAACAGTGGGCCTTGTACGACTTTTGAGCGTTTAGAATGTCGAAATCTTCACCTCTCGTTTCGAGATTCATCTTCCTCTACTTTAGCAAACGGCACTTTTTTTCTGAATTAACGAACCGTTAAAAAACTGAACATCGGAGTTTTCGAACCGAACGTACCGACCGAGGCCCAAGAACCACGGAGCACCGCGGTTTCGGTGCACCGTTAGACCCTTAGTTTGTACATGTATTGTAATTTTTAAAGAAATGCAGCATTTGTACTTAACGTAGTTTACAGAGTAGACACCTCATTGTGACATCATATATTCCAGGAACTCGTCTCATCCCATGTGACTTTCTGATTCCTGTTGAGACTCACAACCCTGTACAAGATGGTCTCCATCATCAGGTATTTATATTATACATTCCAGATCTTGTTCTGTATTGTAAAGTACAGTTAGATCTTATTCTCTAGAATAAAGCATTTCTAATATTTTATTACCCTTTCAGATCTCATATTTCCTTTTGTACATGTCAGTTATTATATTGTACATTTTACTTCTCTATTGTAAATTCCAGATCTTACTTTCAAACTTCCTGGCCCAGACAGAGGCTCTGATGAAGGGCAAGAGCAGAGATGTTGCAGAGGCAGAACTGAAGACATCTGGGATGAGCCCAGAAGATATAGCTCACATTCTTCCACATAAGGTACAATTATTAATTGGTTAGGAATAAATAACATGTTGGGGATATTAGAGACAAATAAGAAGAATCTGCTGCATGTATGCCAATGTATGAGGCAAGTCAAGTTTATTAGACATGGTTCAGCAGTTCATGTTTATTTCCTCTGTCGTAATAAGCCTGAAATGACAAAGCAGTTGAGGGCTTTGGCATTGGGGAAATCTCATGAATCAAAGAATTTAGGTCTTTTCCAGATTCTAATATGCAAAAACTAGCAGAAAAACCAATACATATATGTACCTTTCATTGCAGACCAGTATTGTGCCTTCACATGACATATCATACAAGAATATAGGGATAAAGGAATTTTTCAGATAAGCCTTAATTAAGCTGTTTCCTCCTGTTCATCCTGCAATTGTTTTGATGAGTTCAAATGATGAAACATATATTCCTGCATACGTTTTCACTTGTTGAGCACTTGTCAACATTACCATTTACTTATTATTGAGGGGTTTAACAGGGGTCCACAAAAAATAAAAAATATTAGATTTTGATATTCTTGAAGTTTACAACGGATTATATACTTATGAATCGGATTTTGGGAAAATTATTAGCATGACATATTGATTTTATCTGTTTAATTGAAAATAAGATTTCTTTTAACATCATCTTGTTTTTTGTTGATCCGTCAATTGTTTTGATATATCTAAATGATAAAACATATATTCCTACATACGTTTTCACATGTTGAGCACTTGTCAACATTACCATTTACTTATTATTGAGGGGTTTGACAGGGGTCCACAAAAAATAAAAAATATTAGATTTTGATATTCTTGAAGTTTACAACGGATGAATCGGTTTTTGGGAAACTTATCAGGATGACCTATTGATTTTATCTGTTTAATTGAAAATAAGATTGTTTGTCTGATTATATTTTACATTCAAAATGATTAAAAATAATGGTTCCATTTAGTTCACTTTCTTTTAACATCATCTTGTTTTTTGTTGATCCGCCAATTGTTTTGATATGTTTAAATGATAAAACATATATTACTACATACATTTTCACCTGTTGAGGACCTGTCAACATTACCGTTTACTTATTATTGAGGGGTTTAACAGGGGTCAACAAAAATATTAGATTTTGATATTTTTGAAGTTTACAACAGATTATCTACTCATTAATCGGCTTTTGGAAAGTTTATTATCCCATCGAACGAAGTTCAGTAGGGATAGAGTGAAGCCCGCCGTCCGTCACTCAGTCAGACAGTCAGTCCATCCGTCCGTCTGTCCGGAAGATAACTTGAATACTAGTACACAGATTTTCTTCATATTTGGTGGAAAGATGTATATTGGTGAATAGTTATACGTAAAAATTTTTTCAAGATGGCCGCCAGTTTAAAAATGGCGGGAATTTTTCGAAAAAATCTTATGTTTTTCATTTTAAACCAAAATAAGAAACATTATTATTTAAAATATTGGTAGTATATCAACGGTATCTATCTATTTCACATATATCCTGGATTTTTCACCCTGACCCCCAGGGGCCGTAAATGGGGGGGGGGGGTTGGGAAAACACACATTTGCATTAATTTTGAGATGTTTTTGAAGTGTAGCTTTATTATACTCAAATGAAAGGCAATTTTGAGTAGATTGCAAATATTGTAGCGTTTTTCTGATTCGGGCCTCAAAAAATTCAAAATGGCTGTCTAATGCGGGATTTTGCAATTATTTCTGATCTCTTAAAAGTATGGCTACATTATACTCAAATTGAAGGAATTTCAGAGTAGATAACAATGATGGCAGTGTCTTTCGGATTTGTGCCTCTGAAAATTCAAAATATCCAACTAGAGCAGATATTCGACATTACTTAGAGCCATCTTTAAAGTATGGTTACAATGATCTAAAATATTTATTGAAGGAAAGAGTAGATGGTAAATATTACATTGTGACTGTACAGATTGATGATTTATATGGTGTTCGTTGGGCTACTCCGTGAAGTTGCCATTTTCTAATTAGTATGACATATTGATCTTATCTGTTTAATTGAAAATAAAATCGTCTATCTGATTATATTGTGCATTCAATATGATTAAAAACAATGATTCCATTTACAGTTCATTTTCTTTTAACATCATCTTGTTTTTTGTCCGGCAATTGTTTTGATGTTTAAATGATAAAACATATATTCCTATATACATTTTCACCTGTTGAGGACCTGTCAACATTACCGTTTCCTTATTATTGAGGGGTTTAACAGGGGTCAACAATAATATTAGATTTTGATATTTTTGAAGTTTACAACAGATTATCTCCTCATTTATCGGCTTTTGTAAAGTTTATTAGTATGACATATTGATTTTATCTGTTTAATTGAAACTAAGATCGTCTGTCTGACTATATTTTGCATTCAAAATGATAAAAAATAATGGTTCCATTTAGTTCACTTTATTTTAACATCATCGTGTTTAATCGTTGATCCGCCATTTGTTAAATGATATGTTTAAATGATAAAACATATATTCCTACATACGTTTTCATCCGTTGAGAACCTGTCAACATTATCGTTTACTTATCATTGAGGGGTTTAACAGAGGTCCATAATAATAAAAAAGATTAGATATTGACACTTTTGAAGTTTACAACGAATTATCTACTTATGTATCGGCTTTTGCATTCAAATTATAATCTAAGATGAATTAAGAATGTATTCGCGCTATTTATAAAATTGGATTTTAACATCAATAAAGCATATGATATGATGTGGGGTGAAAGGATATATGATTTTTGCGATACAGGCTATCTCTGCAAGCACATAACTTTAGTAATAGATTATTTTATTTAGTAGAAAATAGACTATCCCATGAGGCAATGCTAGAACCCGAACGCTCTATATTGAAATTAATAAATACCGCCTCGCCCAATATTTTTCTCAAATAGGTATTCTGCCATATCAAGCTCCTGATCATCCAGTATTTGTTTAATATTGCCTGCAGAAATGAGGTTATTAGTATTACCACAGTTAATGCACAGGGCTGAAAAAGCAAAAATTATATGCATTGAAAGCTATGTCATTTCCCGGGGAAAATTGCCGGGCGTTAATGCATAATTGGCCCACAACTATGGCCCGCCACTATGACGTCACATATTGCTCAGATCGATAAAGTAACATAAATGCCTTCTAAACTAGCACTAATACCCCTATAACATTCCCGGCAAGGTGGTAATAATAGTAATTGATCTGAGTACTATCCACAAAAATATTCATCTTTTTGAATTTGACTTGAATTAAATCTTCAATAAATGAAAATCTGAACCATTTTAAGATATTCGAAAAATTCAGAAACTGCAAATAATTCAATTATAACTATTTAAAACAATTTAAATTGCTAGGATATGATAATAACCTTAAAAAGTAAACATTTGATTAGTTATACCAATCATTGTGATTTTAGAGCCCAAATGTTATCTCGTTTTACAGTTTCAATTTTATAAATCTTCTTGCTGTCAACGTTTTTATAATACTTTACACTTATTTAGTGCCTGTTTATAATGATACCGACATTATTGTAATATTGAAATCATATAAGTAATAAAGATCCCCAAATGGAGGTCAATGCCCCCCCCCCCCCCATTTGACATGGCCTTATACGAATTAGGTTGTAGACATCAGGATGAAACCTGTTTTTATGATTTATACACCTTAATGATGTAATTTAATCGTAACAATGTACTAGCTTTCCATCTAAGAACTATCCGGAAAAATATTTAATTTTCGTAAAATAGACCCCTGCTGAAATCGTTCATAAATGAAGTTCTGTAACCTTGTATGGTTCACAAAAATTCATGAATGGTCAATGATATAATCCTAACTAACAAAAGCAAATTAAAAACACTAGGCTGTAACAATAAGTTTTAAAAAATTATACAGTGTTTGATGAGTTATACCTCCTACTGTGAATTTGGATTCCATTTTGATCTAACTTTTCAGTTGAAATTTTACATTATGCTCTTGATATATAATAATTCATACTTTTTGCACTTATTTATTATCTATTCACAAGAAATCTTTTAAAATGATTATTTCTTTAAAAAATGGACCCCTGCTTAAATCTCAAATAAATGATAAATGGTAATGTTGTGTGGTTCTCAACAAGCAATTCCATATTCAGTGATATTAAATCTATCAATATAATCTATAAAAATGATTGCAACTTGAACAGGAGGTAATTTTAAAATTATTGTCAATTCCTTTAACACTAATATATTGATATAATGAGTCTAAATGTTAAACAGAATAGTTTAGATTTCTTAATTGGATGCATCTTGCAACTGTCTTTTAAGCTATAAGTGAGGACAATGTATTGTATTTCAGGTGTTTGAGGGTAACAAGCCAAGCAACTCTGTCATCTTCCAGAAGTTGACTCCTTTCAATCTTGGCATGCTTATTGGTAAGTTGCAAACTGACTTCTGTTACTTTACAAATATGTTCATTACTGTTTGATTATCTCCCCATTTGTGAGTGCTCTCATGCGACTTTTAAGCTCTAGACAGTGTCTAGTGTCTACATGTAAGGATATGCTTAGTTTACTTTAGATTCTGTTTACCTGTTCTTTACACTTACATGTATTTTCAAAATCATTTATGTCGTATACATGTATATGATAAAGACAGCTACAATACAGTACAATAAAATCATTGTTGAAAGAATTTTTTCTAGTTTTTATTTTTTCTAGTTCTTCATAAATAAGTTATATGCAATAGGATTACTTCCTTGCCAGTTCTCTCAGCTCATAAACTGTACTTAATATGTTTTCAGTTCTATATGAACACAAGATCTTCACCCAGGGTGTCATCTGGGACATTAACTCCTTCGATCAGTGGGGGTGAGTATGCTAGGATCTATTGACTGTCCTTATGTAATAGGCCTATACAATATTGAATGTGCAATATGATTCTAAAATATAAATGTAATTTTCAATTGAATATGCATTAACATTATTTGATAACGATTGTTGAATGTATATGTCAAAGATGTCACAGGTTTATGTCAACACATATTCCCAAATTCCTCTAAAATGACTATTTGAATATATTTACGTGTACCGTGTATTATTAAATTATTAAGGAATAAATTGAATTGAATTGAATAAATTGAATGAACCTCTATAAGTGAAACACCAAAGATGGTTAACTTACACAAGTTTTACTTTCTAAATAATATATGCATCATATATTTGCAGTGTTGAGCTTGGTAAGCAGCTAGCAAAGGTCATCCAGCCAGAACTTGGGGATGCCACACCAGTAGACAATCATGATTCATCTACTAATGGACTCATCAATTTCATTAAATCTCATAGGAAGTAATGCTAGGGACATTAGGTTGTGATAATTCAATAGGAGTAAAGGGGAGTCTGTGAGAGTGAATGTATTCATGATGTATTGCAGTGGCATAGTTGTCTCATTTTTTAGAGAAGGGGGCGCATTGAGGTGGTCAAATTATGAATGCCTGGCAGGATCATTGCTCCTCTCCTTGATTGCACAATCAACAGTGAATATTGTTCAGTTATCTTTCAAATAAGCAGAATAATTAGAATTAACTCCAGTGCACTTTAATGCTATTTGTTCTTAACCCTTCACCATTGATGTCAGCTTATGTACTAATGAGATGTTTAGAATCTCTTTTGGAGAATGTATTTCTGCATCACTCGCACATTTCCCCATTGCTTCCTAATGAATGATATATGCATTTATCGATCAAATCGCAAATTGAGGTATCAATGTATAGGGATACTTATGAAATAAGCCCTGCCCCTTTTTGTCTAGTCTAGCAACAAGTATGATACTGCATAATGGAGTACTCACATATATGGATTAAAGCTCAATATTTGAACATTTCCTTCACATTTATCTGAGTTCACTATTATGTCATGGATCATTCTCCTATTTACGTGGACATGTAATGTAGATTAGTACATTATATTCGGAAGTACATTTGTGAAGTGATTATTGATTACTATAATCAGTATTTTTGCTTTGTTACTCTGCAAATCAATTTGTTGCTTAAACTTTGCAGTGTTGGGTTAGAGTTAAACAGTGTGTTGTTCAATACAATATTTGTACTTCTCATAATGTTCAACCTCCAATAATACATTACGCACAAGACGTCAGGCTCAATATGACCTAATATGGTCTTGGAATGATGCTGTCCACATAACAGATCAGGGGATTAAAAAAGAGAAATGGAAAACTGTTAAACCATGTTGAACAAATTGGACCCAGCTAAAGGTCCATGGTCTTATTTATGAGAGTATCTCACTTAGTTTTATAGCTGGATAGTCTTATAGATGAAAACCATTGATCTGGTGATAAATTGTAAGATCACTAATTTGTATTAGTACAAATTGGACCCAGCTAAAGGTCCATGGTCTTATATATGAGAGTAGCTCACTTAAGTTTTATAGCTGGATACAGTAGTCTTATACTTATTAAAAAAGAGAAATGGAAAACTGTTAAACCATGTTGAACAAATTGGACCCAGCTAAAGGTCCATGGTCTTATTTATGAGAGTAGCTCACTTAGTTTTATAGCTGGATAGTCTTATAGATGGAAACCATTGATCTGGTGATAAATTGTAAGACATTATTTTGTTCCTTGTGGGTTGAACTGAAATTTGGCTTACAGAAACAAGAGAGCTAATTAGTTTAAAACCTAGTCTTGGTGTAGTGATATTACATACATTAGTAATCTCAAAATACTAAATGGCAATTATGAAATATGTTCAGATTTTTATGGTGCCAAAATAACAGTTGTCAATGTTAAAGAAATGGTGAATACTGATATGTCAAATGCATCTGATCAACAGTAATAGTTCAATTATATTTGTCAGTCTTCATAAAAATCAATTGATGAAATTTGCAGTTCACTTTCATATAAATAAATCATGTGCAATTATGTAAATGTGTTTGATGTAACGTTAACAGACTATTACAATGAGTATCAGCATATACATTGAGCAGTCTAGCTAGGTGCCATGGAATGTATGTAATTTTAATATGCTGTATGTGGTGTAATTGGTTATGAAAAAACAAATAAAAACAAGTTACAGCAATAAACATCAATTTAGTGTCATTTGTTGATAATTATTAGAGAGTAAGTTTCCATCATTGAGGTGATTCAATGTAAAGTTAATGGAAAGGTAGCTATTGCACACAATTTTCACTTCTCAAACCAACAAATGCAAAACATGGACTGGCTATCACAAAAATGGCTATAACAGCTGGTCACCATCAAGAACAACAATGTTATGAATGTGATCAAGTTCTGTGAATGTGACCTTCCATGGCCTCAACAATGTTATGAATGTGATCAGGTTCTGTGAATGTGACCTTCCATGGCCTCAACAATGTTATGAATGTGATCAAGTTCTGTGAATGTGGCCTTCCATGGCCTCAACAATGTTATGAATGTGATCAAGTTCTGTGAATGTGACCTTCCATGGCCTCAACAATGTTATGAATGTGATTGAGTTCTGTGAATGTGACCTTCCATGGCCTCAACAATGTTATGAATGTGATCAAGTTCTGTGAATGTGACCTTCCATGGCCTCAACAATGTTATGAATGTGATCGAGTTCTGTGAATGTGACCTTCCATGGCCTCAACAATGTTATGAATGTGATTGAGTTCTGTGAATGTGACCTTCCATGGCCTCAACAATGTTATGAATGTGATTGAGTTCTGTGAATGTGACCTTCCATGGCCTCAACAATGTTATGAATGTGATCGAGTTCTGTGAATGTGACCTTCCATGGCCTCAACAATGTTATGAATGTGATCGAGTTCTGTGAATGTGACCTTCCATGGCCTCAAAAATGTTATGAATGTGATCAAGTTCTGTGAATGTGACCTTCCATGGCCTCAACAATGTTATGAATGTGATCAAGTTCTGTGAATGTGACCTTACATGGCCTAAACAATGTTGATCTTATGACCAAAGCTTGTGCATAAATAAAACAATTATGTAGCCTACATCTGTTTCAATAATTTATTATCAGGCCTCGTCTCAATTCCAGAGATGAACTCATCAATTATATCCAATATTAAAACCACAAGAATGTGTCCACTATTTCTGTTCCTATTACATTTTGATTAACATTTAAATAACTGTAATGTTTTGTCAAGAGTCTGCATTGAGCTGCCTGGTGCTGAGTTGAATCTTTTCACCTGGTTTGAAGGCTGGCATGCCCAAATATGGGCAACTTGAACATCTGAATGCGTCTCCCAAGTAACACTGGAAATATAGATGTTACAAAACAATAAGGGAACAGGTCATCTAATGGTCTAAAATGAGAATGAAATTTTTAATGTATTAGCATACCTTGCAAGACTTTTGAATCCCTTGATATAGAGTTTTCAGGTGCTATTTGGGCACACCTAGGATATCTATTCTTTGTTTAATGTAATCTATCAAATGCAAATATCGAACATTTGTTTAACTTACACTGCCACAAGCTGAGGCCTGTTCTGTTGACTTCTTTGCCTGGCCACTCGTTCCATTCAACTCATCCGCAAAACCACATGAACAATTTTTACAGGCTTTTTTGGATGCAGAGTTTGGACCACAGGCTGGGGCTGAAATAAACATACAATGAGGTGAAAAGGACATGGAAAGAGCATACTATAATAGCTGAGAAGCAAGGATTTTAGTATTTGACTTCAAAAAGGCTAACAAGAAGTAGGTATCAAGTAGAAATATTTTCTACCGCATCAGCGCATCTGTATGTACTCAAACATTAGCTCTGAAAGTTTGAAGGTGATATCTGCAGTTGCAGTGAAAAGTGTCGGATGTATGGCCTAGGCCAACAATACAGCCCCACAGTCACTATGTGAAAAAAAGTCATCTTACCTTTCAGTGACTCTGGGTCAGGTTTCTTGAGGTCATCTTCATCTAACAGCTCATCTGAGTCCATGATATCAATGTCATCATCTAACATATCATTGGCCGACAGGGACCACACCTTCGCTACATTTGTATCAACTTTTGGAGCTGGATCTAAAATATCAATTTTGAAAATCTTTTCAAGGCTAGGGATAAATAGATAAAAATTAAAAAGTGTCAAGATTCCATGGCATATCCCTAAAAAGTTTCAAACCTTTCTTACAGATCCTGAACTGGATGAATTACTCATGAATATCTTTTTTGCACTCTTTTGTGGGGTGTTGGGCATTATTTTTAGGGTACACTTTTGGGTGAGAGATAAGATTAATATTTGGGGTCTAAATGGAATATGCCTTAAGGATCAAAACAAGTAATCTTACCTAGTAGCTAGCTATATATAGCACTATATAACTTTTATTGACAGCTTTTTATTGACATTACATGTTTACATTAGTCGCAACTACTCACTAAACTGTATAATGTTTTGTTAACCATATCTAAATCTTAATTTTGATATCCTCTTGTAAATAAAACTATTGCAATACTGAACTAGGATTTTCTAAACTAAAAGAGGTACTGTACCCTGTGTTTTGGGTTTAACTGCAAATGATAGCTTAAGTTGTGTGGAGGTCCCTACTTCATAACTTGGTTTAGCCGCAGTGAACCGCTTAACGTTGCTTTTTTCTTCCTATAATGAAAAGGAAAATTATGTGAAACAGGTGTTCAAAGAAGTACAATATGTGTATCCAGCAAATAATGATGCATTTGAGAAAGAAAAATGTGAAACTGGTGAAACTGGAAATGCAATGTAAGTATGTACATGTAGTGAATTACAATGTGTGTTAGAAAATACAGTTTCCAATGAAATATAAAGCATATATTTAGAAACTATGCGACACAACTATGCAACAAATTTAAATACTATAAAATGCAATAAGCAGCAAAATACAATGTACACTATGTAACAAAAGATTTTGCCATTCTCACCTTACTTATGTCTATAAACCCTGACATTGTTAAAATTGAAGATGTTTTATCTGCACTGTTTGCCTCCATTGCCTCATCCATTATTAGTCGCCCACTGGGTTTCAGTAATCGAGCTATTTCTGCCAATATATCCATAGTATGTAACACAGAAGGAGGTGGTATGATCCCAGACAGAATCACATCAAAGCTTGATGCACTATGATTGGCTGAAAATTGATAAAATAGAGCTTTGTATACACTGTATTTATTTGTATTTTTGGTCTATGTGGGTTTTTTAGGGAGTAGTCATATACATTTTATATACATTTGAGCAATATAATAGTGATTACTTTAGTTGCTTACCTTCATTTATTACTAACCATATCTCTTTTACCATTTTCTTGATCTCACCTTAGTTGGGGGATAATTCATGGGTGGTCTTTTGGGGGGAGGGTTGGCGGGTAAATACTTACAAGATTCGCTCAGATATCAAGAGCTACCTCCAGCCTCAATAAAAAATGGAAGGAAATTGATGATTTTCTGTGCATGCGCGCTGACCTACATTGAACTGTATTTCATGGCAACCAGTTTTGTTTACATGCAAACTTAAGAATTGAAATGTTATAATTGACTAACTCCCATAAAAAACACATACAAGAACACAAATGTGTACAAAATGTCCCCACCAAGTGGTGATCCCGTGAAATGGTTATCCTGAAAATGAGTAGACAAGACTTTACCAAAACAATTTGAGGACGGAAAATCCAAAGTGGCCACCTTAAAATTTACCCAGAATGCCAAAAATTTAGTGAGTTCTAGATTTTCATACTAAGAACCACCCCTGAAAATTTGAAATTGATCCGTCACACAGTTAACCAGAAAACATGTAAACAAGACTTTACAGACAAGATTTCAGGATGGAAAATCCAAAATGGCTGCCTTGACATTTACCAAGAATGTCAAAAAACTAATCTGTTTGTAGATTTTCATACTAAGAATCATCCCTGAAAATATGAAATTGATCTACCAAACGGTTCACCTGAAAACGGGTAGACAAGACTTTACAGACAAGATTTTAGGACAGAAAATCCAAAATGGCTGCCTTGACATTTACCCAGAATGCAAAAAAACTAATCAGTTCTAGATTTTCATACTAAGAATCATTCCTGAAAATTTGAAATTGATCTACCAAACAGTTCACCTGAAAACGAGTAGACAAGTCTTTACAGACAAGATTTTAGGACGGAAAATCCAAAATGGCTGCCTTGACATTTACCCAGAATGCCAAAAAACTAATGAGATCTAGATTTTTATACTAAGAATCATCCCTGAAAATTTGAAATTGATCCACCAAACAGTTCACCTGAAAACGCTCAGACAAGACTTCACAGACAAGATTTTAGGACCGAAAAATCCAAAATGGCCGACAATAAAAAAGTCCTTATGAGTTTTTGCTGATTTCTTTTTACAAAATTATCACATATAACTACTGTTAACAATAAAGTAGGCTTTTACAGCAAAGTACATCTGAAATTATTTATAAAGCTACTAAATAGTTAAAGTATGAAAACTCAAAAACACCATTCAATATGATACAAAGTATTATCGCGCGCTAACTTTTCTTAAGACATTCAAAATGGCTGACATGACTGAGCTAGCAGGTCCAAAACCTAATCAGATCTAGAATGAAGTGAGCTGAACAAGATGTTAAAGTTTTAAAAGCAACTGTGAAGCAGTTTTTCTTAAAGTTTGCAGACAAGGATTTTAGCATTTGACTTCAAAATGGCCGACAGGAAGTAGGTTTCGAGTTAAATTTTTTTCATCCACATCTATAGGCACTCATAAGTTATTCCTGAAAATTAGAAGGTGATACCTGTAGCGGTTTTGGAGAAAACTGCCGGACGTACGGACGGACAGACAGACAGACAACCAACCAGACAGACGGACGCGCCTAGGACGACAATATGGCCCCACACTATGTGGTGGGGACATAAAAACCAATTAATTTATTATTAATTGTTATATATTGTGTGCTTGAATATAATTCCAGATCAAACTTTTCAAAGATGTATGATTCAATCATCATAAAACAAATAACCATTTTTGGGGTATTTTGATCGGAAGGACAACTGACCTAAATCCTTTAATTTTTTAACAGTATCTGTACAAACTAAGATATCACATGCAATATATAAAAATGTTAACAGTTTCACATACAGCATCATTATAATACATTTGTTTACTACATGTACTTGGAAACTGCAAGAAATTATACATACCCATGGTCAATCTGTGGATATTTTCAACTTGCACACTGCCTTCTTTCACTGTTGTCTTCAGCTGTTCAACTGTAGTTTGTATGAGATCTGGTTGTACCTCACCGCCCCATAGTAGGAGTACTTTGTCACTGGATTTCAGTGATAGAGTGGACATTCTTATAACCTTCCAACTGGAACAGTCAAAGATCAAAAATGGTTCAATTAACAGCAACGCCAAAGCATAGCAAATCCTATTGAACAGCCATGGCTGGCATTTTTACAAACAAAGAATATAGCTCACTATAGCCAAATTGTCATCAGGAAGTCGCTCCACTTCTTTTCGCGTCCATTTTTCAAAATGGCCGCTTTCTACCAAAAGAACCGAAGAACCCCGGGGGTTCACTGTATATAAACCTTGACGGGGATCCTTGGCGCACATGGGGTACCTTTTTTTGACATTTGGTATGGCAATGGACCCAAATATTTAGGATCTGTTACGAGAACACCCCCCCCCAAATTCCACTTTCTGGAATGAGAATGGTCTTGGAAAATATGTTATCTCACACTTGTGGTATGGTATTGGTCTAGTAGTTTCACATATCCTTAATTTGAGGTTGTTTTGGATCATTTTCTTCATAGATTTGCCTTCTTCTCAAGGCCTTCTTCAGTTTGAATATTAGCTTTTTTCCAACACACATTGAAATTTGACAGATTGGTATGGGAACATATCGATACCTGAGGGTTAAGCCAAGGACCCCCGCCAAAATTTGTATTCAGTGAACCCCCTGGAGACGGATTGAGTCGTTCCCTATACTATAGCAGCGCTTGCATTAGGTTAGAAAATTTGTGAGTCCCAAGGACGCAGTTTTTTTTAAAAAGTGTGTCCTTTGAAAAAAGTGTGTCCCCTATTTCTAGCCTGTTTTGAGGTATAACTTTATTTTAAACACCTTGAAGTTAATTTTGTCACATGATTGTCTTTGCTTCAACACAACAATTTGATTTCTTGCCTCGAATTTAAAACGGAAGTAAACGTTAAGTACGGACTGAATAAATACATGTTCGTTCATTCGACAATGAATACATTTTAATTCATGAATAACCTAATATTTGTTTCTGAATAGGAAAAACTGTGGCGTGTCATGGTTTCAAATCTAAAAATAAACAAAGTCGAAAAAATTCTAGAGAATCATGATTATTTGTAAATATTCAACATGTTGAGCCTTATTTACGATTCAAATAAAGGTGAGAGATCATAATTATTTGTTTTTGTTAGGTATCGTTGTAAACACATTGTAGTATTGACCTAAAAAAAATTTGCGTCCAAAAACGGAAATATTTTCAATTTTTGCGTCCTCCAAATTATTTTTGAGTCCTTAACATGTACGGGACGCCGTTAATGCAAGCCCTGCATCCCTCTCTGAACTTCGTTTGATGGGATAATAATCAATCGCAAGAAAAATATAAACAAGGCATTAACATGCAAAATGTCACCACTTGCCATTTGTTATGGACATTGAAACCCAAACACCAACCACTGAACATCATCCACAAAAAAAGTTGGAGACTGTAACATCAGTATGTCATCACTTATGGTGGTGACATAAAAATGAGAGAAAACGCCATTCTGGATTTCTATATGTAACAGGCTTGTATGACATTAGTTAAGTTATTTAACACAATACTTCTTTCATTTATTAATTTGAATTTTCTTGTAGCCACAGGTTTAATTGTAGAACTAGAATGTCTAAGGCCTTGTCACTGGATGAAACTTGACATCCGAGGTAAAAACCCAAAATGATGCAAAATATACACAGTCAGTATTGATCCTAATTTTGGCTTCCCCAAAATCAACTGCATACGGACTGCGGGACAGACTGGGAGAATATGTAAAGGGACAGTCCACAGGCTTAAAGCACAGACAAAAATGTGCACCCTCAAAACAAAAAAATGTGCACGCCCAAAGCCTTTCAATAGGTTCTATTATAGTATAGATCTATTATAGGATAGTAAACTCATAAATGTGGGTTTGATTTTTCATGGGTATAGATCACACAGATCCGGAGCCAGATCCAGCCCCTATTGGTAAGGCTCAAAGGATAAATGGGAAGATGAGAAACGAGCCAAAAATGACCATCCAAAAATATGACCCTGGTACTGACCTTTATTTTTTCCATCTGTCAGACATTAATTGATCAATATTTACCCTGTAATCTCTTCTTTATGTATTAGTTTGAATGGTTGCATGATATCCATTATTGACATTGTAGTTCGACTTTTCCCGGGACATTTATTTGAAATTTTCAGAGCGTAAAGATAATGGAGTCAGGGCTTGCATTAACGGCGTCCCGTACATGTTAAGGACTCAAAAATAATTTGGAGGACGCAAAAATTGAAAATATTTCCGTTTTTTGGACGCAAAATTTTTTTAGGTCAATACTACAATGTGTTTACAACGATACCTAACAAAAAGAAATAATTATGATCTCTCACCTTTATTTGAATCGTAAATAAGGCTCAACATGTTGAATATTTACAAATAATCATGATTCTCTGGAATTTTTTCGACTTTGATTATTTTTAGATTTGAAACCATGACACGCCACAGTTTTTCCTATTCAGAAACAAATATTAGGTTATTCATGAAATAAAATGTATTCATTGTCGAATGAACGAAAATGCATTTATTCAGTCCGTACTTAACGTTTACTTCCGTTTTAAATTCGCGGCAAATATTAAAATATGACTAGAAATAGGGGACACCCTTTTTTTTCAAAGGACACACTTTTTTTTAAAAATGCGTCCTTGGGACTCACAAATTTTCTAACCTACATATGTAATGCAAGCGCTGGGAGTGCTTCAGTAATTTCCAGCAGTGTCCAATGTTGTTCGTCTCTCAAATTACGTCACATCGCAACAAACAGCCAATGAAAGTAAAGGATCGCGTAGCCTAACAAACCATTGTTATTGTTTCTACCGGAGTTCAAAGAAACGTCATGGGACTTCTCGGTAATCTCTGATGTGACGTCATCCGGAGTGGCGTCACATTCTCAGAAAAGACATTTGACTTCGGGAATAAACATTTGAACAACGGAGATAGCCGAAGCACTCCATTAAATCATGGTCTCTAGCCTAGACTATATCCTATTTAGTCTGAATTATATTCAGACTATAAGGCACCTATGTTAAGTTTGGTAATCCTAAATATTTGTTTACATAGGAAGTGCTATTCAAAATGGCAGATTGGGTAAAATTAATTTGCACATTTGTTTCTTCAACTAGCTTTATTTCCACTTGACAATATGGTGTGTTACTTTTTATTGCATTTAATTGTACCTTACTATTTAATTGAAATTTTGGAATGTTTATTTTATTGAAGAAATGGTTGCTCTAATTGATAATTTTGTGCAAAATATTTCACTGCAATTTCCACAGGAAAGTAGTACATCATAACAGACTGACTTCTAGTCAGTCTGTTGGATACATACTAGTCTCTAGCCCATGATTAAATATACGCTCGCTTATTTTATGCTTTTATCAACAGACACTTTCTTGGATGTATGGCTTTAGTGAATGGAGTTGAAGCTAACAATAGTACGCATCGTTTGAGGTATGAAATGTGATATTTATTGATAAACTGACTCCTAAATTTTCCGAAGATCTCGTGTCTTGTCCTCGAGTATATTTATGGAGCCTAGACACAGAGGAGGTAATCTGACAGAGGTCCATGATAGGTCATAGGATAATTAGGTGGTGCTGAGTCTGCTGACTCATGACTGGTCAATGGTCATTTCATTTCCAATTTCATTGATTTAGATCTATTTTCAAGAATTTTTTTTTTTTTGACATATGATATCGGCCTAGATCTCGGCAAGTATATCTAAATCTACTCAAAATTCTTCTGTCTTTAAAATCCGTGAATACATACCTCTAATCTAGTTATTTAGCTGCTGATACTATATTATACACTTCAAGAAGCGTAAAAACTAAGAACACAATTTATTTCTAGAAACTTTACCTTCCGAATGTTTCCGGAAAGTGCCGAAACACATTACGGAAATAAGAACCAATCAAATTGTGGATATCAAAGTTTCACAGATTTAAAAGAACTGTTTTCATTGGTCAATTTGATTTTGCTGGATTTTCAAACTCGTTATTTCGCTTTTCTAATGTTTCAGTAATATTGCTTAAAATCAACAACTTTAAACAGATAAAACGTTTCATAGTACAAGGGAATTATTAGATTACACGATCGAGTGAAAACATGGCTTCTGGAGAGACAGAAGGCTCAGATTGGGAGTATGATGCACCTCAATTTATTGATTTTCAAAAAACGGGAGGCGAGGAAGAAATGGATGATAAGGCAGACCAATGGTTCAGTATGTTTACATTTAATGATCTAATTTATTGATATAATTTAATCTGTAAATCTATTTTTACAATTTTTTAGGATTTAGCTGTAGGGGTACCCATTTCCATTGCAGTGATACGATAGACAACTAAGATTTTCAACATCTAAAAAGTCACTCGACTTTTTTGCAAAAAAATGTCCAAAAAGTAACAGTCGCATGAATTCACATTGTCGTACTTACAAAATGATCAACCGCCTAACTTATGCACCATCGAACTCGGTAATATTGTACACGTAACTATTAGATTAATTACTGTATATTCCCATAGAAAACTGGGCTTGCTTTTCAACATTTCAAGCGAAAATTCTCTACGGAGCTTTTGTTTTTCTGACGTAATTTCTTCTAAGAAATCGGTGAAGTGATAGGTTCAGTTCATCTTATTTCGAAAGGGGTGTCATTTAAGAATATTTATTTTCATCTTGTCCAGTCTTATATACAACCTGCCTTATCTTTTTCACTCGTAAAACCGCGTAGCAATGTTGAAATTATGGAATAGATTCTCTGAGAGTTTCGACATGTCTTCATCTTTACCATCTTGCGTTTGACACCCCTCGTTTTGGGAGAGTCCAAGTATACCGTACATACGGGTGATTAGAAAATAGACATTTTCAAGAAAATTCGAGCAGTGAGACAGATTACTCTGGTCAAACTGACGAAACTTATGAAAGAATCAATAAAAGGTAAGTGATATACATTAGGCGGATGCCAAAAATTAAACATGGCGCCAATTTGAAACTTCAGAATGCTTTCTGTGATTCAAAATCACAAAAAAGTCGAGTGACTTTTTAGATGTTGAAAATCGTACACTATACAAAATAGATCTACTGTTTTTAGTCAATTTTCTGGTTGTTTGACTCATGTTATTGACCAAGGATCCAGGCAAGATTCTTTTGAATCAGGAGCAGTACCTCAATAGAATAGCCTTTAAATCAGCCACTTGCAAAAAAATCAAATTTCAAGATGACGATTGTGTAGCCATTTCAGAAATGAGACCAATCATAGTCTACCTCATTCGAAGCATCTTGTTATTTTTTACCTTTCTACATTAAAAAGATGCCAAAATAGTGATATTTTTCGGCAGGAGCATGTCTGTCCAGATCTGAATGGTGCTTCACTAGTGATTCCAGAAATGTGAAGTCAGCGTTACAATGATATTTGAACACATAAGCTCCTGGAACAACTCAATAATCTTTGACGAAGTAAAGGTTAAATTACAGCTCGTCCATAGCTTATTTACTCAAAACAAACAGATACATGTAGAAATAAAAAGATGAAAATCTCAGCTATAAATTAATTGCAAGATCTGTCACGGGGAAGCAGGTGTCACTTCAAGGAATGTTTTGAAGGATGGTCGTTCTTTTGAAATTTTCCAAAGTATCTCATCTTAAGATTATTCTTTGAACCTATGATCTCCTTCTACAAACCGATCTGGCAGGCATCTGTGTTATTGACTAGAACAATATGTTTGAGCCTCGAGTCTTCAATTCTGTCACCAAACTAATGGGACCCATTCTGCCATCAAGGCTTCAACTGAATATTTTTCCAGAAAATACTGATGCTGACTATCAAGTCAGTTGAATATCATTAGGAATGCATGTCACCCTTAATCTCAGTCCACATATCTGTCGTCTCAGTACATATACCCATCATCTCTAGTTTCATGTCAGCTATTTACAGCTCAAATATAAAGGAAAGCATCATGTATAAAATTATTCAAGATGAATGACAGTCCTTAAACCATCGAAATACATTCAGATTCAATAATCACAATTTTTTTTCAGTCCTCTTTCAATGAATATAATATGATAAATATATAATACCATAAATATGAACAAAAATAATTTAAAGTTATTGAACACCTGAGAATTGTTAAAATAATTTAAAGTTATTGAACACCTGAGAATTGTTTTAACTGGCGATATTGGTTAACTGAAGCTTTCAATTGAAACAAAAGCAATAAAATAACAATGGTCTAATTCTTCTTTGTTTCAGATTATGACCATGAAAATGATACACCAGTAAGCTTATATGATGAAGAACCTGAGGCATCTGACGGTGAAATGGAGGAGGCAAAAGATGACATTGTTGAACAAACTGAAGATTCTAATGAAGTTGCTGCAGCGGAAACACCTAAGATAAAGCGTGAGCGATCAGATGTGTTTAGCACCCCTCCCGAAACAAAGGATATAAAAGGTTTTTACTGCAGCCATACATATCTCATAATCTGGAAAATTATTTTTATCAAAATCATTCACTTTTTTGGAACAATTTTACTCATAGGCGGAAATGTTACTTGAATAGCCATGAAATCAATAACTTTTTGCTAAGTATTTTAAAAATATCTGACCTGTACTTATTTCAATGAACTTTACAGATGTCACTGTTTTTCAGATGAAAATATTTCTGAAGAAGACCCAGTTGAAGAACAAGAGGATGTTGCTGATGTTACCGAGGAACAAAGCAAGCCTAATGTGCCAAGTGTTCCAGCAAACATCCCTGACAACATATGTACTTCATTGGCAGAGTGGCGGGCCAAGACAAAAGGTGCCAAGCTAAAGCATGGAGCTAATCCAATCAAGTCAAAGATAAACTCAGCACAATCAAGCATTAAAGATAAATCTGCTCCAGTGCAAAACAAAAAGGTGGAACAAAGGTAGGGAAAGCAGTTAATTGATTTGTTTATTATTAGTGCAATTTGCAATAGCATAACGGTTGATAATAAAATAAATGAAAAGATGATTACAAAAACATAACGATTGATAATAAAATAAATGAAAAGATATTACGAAAACATAACGATTAATAATAAAAAAAATGAAAAGATAATTACGAAAACATAACGATTGATAATAAAATAAATGAAAAGATTAAAATAATTATATTTTTTCCTACTTCTGTTCTTTATTTTATCAATCATCATGTTGATCTTGTTACATTTTTGATTGTAGTCCACCTAATAAGAAACGACGTAGCAATGTGACTAGATCAAACAGTATAGTTGACACACCCTCCAGAAACACACGTAGCAGAGCTAACCCCAGCAAGCAGGCCAACTCAGCAGAGCCAGCCAAAAGAAAGAAGTCTACAGATAGTCTACATCATAGGTCACGCCTGTCCCGAGGTAGTACACCTGGGTCCCCTAAGAATCAGCGAAATAGACCAAGCTCTAAAGAGAAAGCTCCTAGACCTGTGCAGAAAATGACAATTCCAGCCACACCATCATTTATGAAGTATGCTCATTGCGCTAAGTTGTTTATTTATATTAGTTGTGGTTTTAACATTCTCTATTTAACAGAATTGACATTCTCTATTTAACATAATACACAAGTATTAAGTACTGTCTAGTTATCTTATAGATAACTTTCAAGGGTATGTGAAAACTAAATGACCAATATGTCCAATCACCCCTCCAAGGTGATATATTTTAAGGATTTTCACACTAATTTACACAGTATCAAGCATCAACATTGCAAATGAACTAATATTCATTTCAGTGGTGCATTATAGGCTTAGACATCATAGATATATAAAAAGTAATAAGATTACTGTCTAGTCAAGTATAATATCAGAATGATGAGTGAATCTTGGAAATTGATTAAAAAGATTTATTGATTTATTAAATATACATTGGTTTAGAGATATCATCAATTTTGTGTATTTTAGGAGGGCTCCAATTAGCTCCAATAACAAAGTAAAGGCCAGTGAACAATTAGAGATGGAGAAGATTGTACAAATGAGACAAGAACTTGCAAAGAAACGCAAGCTGGCTGAAAAATCACACAAACGTGCACAGTGCTCATCTGGTAAGGGCTTCAACTCATCAACTACGAGTGTTGAAATAATGTACTTTCAAATAAGTATTAAATCATTTTTTACTCAGATTTACAATAACCTGGAAAATAAAAGAATACAAATATAATACAATGTAAAATCATGTATTTTAATAACAATTGTTTTGAGTGCTACTCTGTATTTCCAATATTTGATCATGTTCATAACGTAACCATATGATAGAATTTATGAATTATTATTTACTACATTCATATATATGAGAAAAGAGTTACAGGATAAAATAATGTTTAACTATTCATTCATAGGTTACGCCCCAGTGAGAGCAGAGCACAACCACCTGACCAAACCAGATGAGTTCCATTTTGCTACAGATGAACGAATTAAAGCTCAGGCCAAGCATGAAACTAAAGATGTTGATTTCACACGCCAGCTGCGCCAGCCAAGTGCCTCTCCAGTATGTATATTACCATATCTGTTTTTCTATGGAAACATTTAAGTCAAATGATATGTATATTCTTGGTGAAACAATGTACATTAGATCTTTACTATTGCAAGTATGAATGTCAGTATAGTGATAGACTTTTAGAACAAATAGTTACTATTTTTAAATCAAAGAAATTGTAGATTTCTATCAACTCAGTAAGTCCGATAAAACTAAATTTTGAGATAACTACATTAACATAATTAAAAATATGACATATACAAGGTACCCCCTAAACAGTAGAGTCATGTGGCTACTAAAATGCTTCTTAACAAAATCTGATTCATATTTCACAAAAAAACTATTTCAGGCACGTAAGGAAGCCCCAAGACTTACAAAACCTCAACCATTCCACCTTTCTGGTAACCGCAAACGTAAATCCCAGGGAGAAAATGGCCGCTATGTGTCAGATGCTGAGAAAGTCATTAAATTCCATGCAAGGACCCCAGACAGGTTCAGAAGCAGGCCAACCAAAGGTGAGTTGCAAATTTAACTGTGGTGCAAAATCAAGGTGTACTTTAGAGTTTATATAATTAGTACATCTGACTGTTCTACCAGTATACTCTTTTTTCATACTCTGCTTTCTTAGAGCTGATTTTCTGCATAATAATGTAAGGGCTATTGAAATTAAAAGGTCCCATTTTAATTTTTATATATTCTCATGTTTCATATACTCACTAGTCAAAATTTCCCTTTTAAAAGTTAATTTTCAAAGTGTTTGCTCGCACCTCTCAATTTTGTATTATTTCAAGATGCTGCTCCCATCAGAGGTCGCTCTAGGTCTCCCCCAGGACTTACAGTCCCCAAAACACCAAACATAACCAAAGCCAGTCGTAAACGAACATCACACGTCATTAGCCAGGCTGAGAAAGATGAACAAGAGCTTGAAGAAATTCAAAAGTATGTTGTTGTTTTTTTATCTCAGTTATACTGTTTAAAAATGTTGCCCATTTTCTTCCTAAAACAAACTAAGATTCATCCCTCATTCTAAGTCTAATCAGGAAAGGCTATAAAATTGTAATGATTCTTTGTTGTGTGGCTAGCCAGTCAGGATCTAAGGAATACCAGTAAATTTTCCTGTGATACGTACAATCGAGTAATTGTGCTTTCTATTATATTATCATTTCATTATGTGTTGTACTAGCTACTACATTACATTACATTACTTGTACTTTGCAATTTTTAATGAGGTGTCTTTAACTCATATGGTGAGCTGCAGCTATTACTCACTTGAGGTGTCTTTTTTACTTTTATATACTTCATTTTTTGTTTGTTATTAATCCAGGAACCAGTTCAAGGCCCACCCTGTAAACCAAAAGATTCTCAACCATGCGAACATAGGTGTCCCTAAAATTCAACCAAAGGAGGTCACTCAGCCCGAGGAATTTGATCTTGAGGGAGCCCGACGTAAGCCAACTGCACCAGAGCCTGAGGAGCCTCATTTTGAGTTCCATGCTCAGCCAATCCCAGCAAAGATACTAGAAAAACCAACAGGGTTAAAACCTGCGAAACATCAACCTCTCACCGTGCCTGAATCCCCAGCATTTGCATTGAAGAATAGAATCCGACCAACTCTTATTAAACCTGAGGAAATACCTGTAAGTTGCGATTTATTCTGACCAGAAGTAGCCCATAATGTTGAAGTTTAAAGTTTTGTATTTTGTAAAGGTTTTAAATCATAATATAGTTGGCATGCTGTGTTACATTCATTAATCGGTGTATTAAATTTACACTATTCTTAGTCCTTTGTGATACTTACTGAAAATGACCTTGCACTCAGTATAGAGTTCATAAATTGCAAACTTTAAAAAAAATTGCGCTAATGTCCACTAACAGTGGACTTATCTAATCAAACTAGATGAAATAAAAATTTCCTCCTGAGGAATCCGCGTTAATGCAACAATTATACATCAAGATTACACTTATAGGAGGTGAAATGTATTAAAGCCCATCCTGTACCACATGGTGGGATAGCCTTCCAGCCCAAGATAGAGCACAAACACACAGTCATCGAACCGTTCACATTTGAAGAGAGGGACAAATGTAAACAAAAACAGAAGGAAGAAAAAATACAGCAAATCTTGGAAGAGGAAAAACGAGTAAGTGTGAATGTGGAGAAATAAAAATGTATCTCAGGATTCGTTGAATGTGTTGTTTTTTCCAAAGAAATAAAAGATTTAAAATCCTAGTATTTGTGTAATCCTAATGTGATCGAAGTTTAGATATCAAATTAAATGAATGCTACAACTACCCATTTTAGTACAGTTTCAAAATGTACCAGAAATGTATTCCTCTTCTCTAAGTCATTCCACTCAAAATAACATTTTTATAATCTCCAATTTCTTGTTGTAGTGGTTGGTGTTCGGCATTTGATGTCTGTAACAAAAGGCAGTAAGTGACATTTTGCATGTTAATGCCTTATTTTACTGTAATTTTCAGGCTAGAGAGTTCAAGGCCCAGTTACTCCCTCCACTTTCTCCCAACCAAGGTGTGCCAGAAAAGAGGCCTAAACCCCCAACAGAACCTGAACCCTTCCACATGGAGGTGGACAACAGAGGAGCTAAGAAGGCAGAGGAATGGAGCAAACAGGTATAGAATACTAACAAATGATTCAGCTTATGAACACTAAAAACTTGTGTATATTTATTAAAGACATCTTTATTCATTTCTTCAGAGAATTTTTTTAATTAAGAAAAAAATTTGTTCATCTTCGCTGACAGAAATGTTGTGCTGAGATGATAAAATGATATGATGGGTCATCAGAAGTACGATCCAGTGCATTATGAACTTCCAATTTGCTTCTCAGATTCTGAAGATTCTATTACCTATTTTTGAGTTTGGATTCCCACACATCTGATGTCTTTAGATACCCATATCCCTTAGCTTAAAAGTTGAATCGCCACAAATATGAAAACTTGATAACATGTATATTAATTACAGATGGAGGAGGAGCTAAAACAACAGAGGGAGTTCAAGGCCAACCCTGCCAAGGTGACACAATGTAAACCTTTTGTCCCTATGAAGTCTACAAAACCTCTTACAGGTAAGAATCCTAAATGATTTTTTTGTGTCCATTTCTATACGTTTGTGTTTGGCTCGAAAATTATTAATTTCAGTGCATACTATTACTTATACTCAAAACAAGATTTGTAAATTGAACCAAAAAATTCAAAGTTTTTTCAAGTTTTCTGAATTATATTGTTAAGAGAACCTGAGAGTGAACAACAGACTTTTGATTCAATTTTCATATTACTGGTATAAATGGCACACAGTCGAAATATTAATATGAGCTTTAAACAAATTGAATTGCAAAATTAGCCTGAATTCCATCAAGCTCTTAACAAAGATTTTAGATATTAGCAGTTTAACTGAGATTGTGTGTGAAGTTAGTGATTATTGAACCTCAATTCATCAAAAAAGACATGCAAATAATCTAAGACTATTTTCTTCCAGAGCTGAATGAATTTGATTTGAACACAGAACGACGTGCTGGGCAGCGAGAAGAGTATGAAATTCACAAGAAAGAGCGTGATCAGGAGGCGGCCATGATTGAACATGCGCGGGATGTTCAGCGTAAAGCTGAAGAGGAGGAAGCCATTGCTAAACTCCGACAAGAACTCGTACACAAAACCAACCCTATCAGGAAATACAAAAGGGTTGAAGTTCATCCTAGTGATAAACCACTAACTGAAGCAGAGTCTCCTAGATTTTCTGAAAGGTTGAAGAAAAAAGTGAGAACCTGAAAAGCCACGATTATGACTGGTTTTAATCATTTGGTGAAATGTGTGCATATTTTAGCATTTTAGATATGGAACAACTCAAAATGGTATTTTAGACAAACTAGACTGTTAACAACTTACAATGTTGGCAAATATTTCAATCGTTGATCTGTATTACTGTAATAAGGATAAGTGCTTAATATAGATATGAACTGTAAGGGTTGGATGGAGAGCAAACTTTTATGTAAAAACTGGGAAATATTTTGATTGAATTGCTCCTCTTCCATCTTGAGGTTGTACAGGGTGCGCCATAAAAATGAATTACTGACAAGATGCTTTGTTATTTTTGAAATATTGATGGAAATAGTGAGTCTAAGTTGAAACAAACTGACTCTGGATAAGTGCTTCAACCACACCCAACCTCGTGTTGCAAATCAGAGGAAATAGAGGAGATATCAAAAGTCCAATGTCTGTTTAAAACCTAAATTATTAATTTTACATCTGTATTGAACCCTCACCCCAAACTTATTTAGAAGTTTCTAAATCTAAATCAATCTTTTGATGCCTCCCTGAATTCAGCACCGAATTCAAAATTTAAAGTCTTAAAGGAAGTCTTTAAAACACAACATATTATAGACTCACAATAATGAATTGATGTTAACTGTATATGACTGCATGCTTGTTGAATTCATGTTTTATCCATGCACTACACAGATGTACATGTATTGCATTACACACATGTGAACATCAACATTTTACCACTGTAATATTGATACTCAAATTTTATTAGATACAATTGTCATCATCATATCATATGTAGATACCATCTCATTATTTTTATATTATAATTGTATGTACATGTACCATAGATTTAATTGATAACATTTTCAATGAATAGATTTGAGTCAAATCATTTACTTGAAACAGTAACTCTATACATGATCTTGGATCAACCATGCTCCCTTTTTATCAGGCCCATAGCCAGGGGAGTTCGATCCTCCCGCCCCACCTCCTGGCCAAAATCATGTGGTTTTCACCATTTTGAGTACTTTTCAAGTAATTTTGGGCCAAAGTTGTCAAAAGTGAACCCCCTGGATATTTTTAAAAAGTCAAGTCCCGTTGCAGATCCTGGCTATGGGCCTGTTTATGTTTTGTTAATTTTTCCAAACAGCCTGTTTGAGGAAAAGAAGAGGGGAGAAATGTTTCATGCTAGAGTCAGTTTTTATCAAACTTGCAACAGTGTTAAGTATTACATTGTTTGGGTAGCATGACCAATCTTGTCATTAAGATAGCAAGAAAACTGTTCATCTGTTGAACTTTACATTTTTTAATGAAGATAAATTTGTTTTGGTCAGTATTACAAACAGAAAAGTCTCATCTAGATTACATTGTGTATGTACTTATTTATATAATTAATGATCACTATTCCAAGTTCAACTTTACTGTAAGCAATGAATGTGAAACGTTTATGATATCTGTACGATAGGTAACATGCTTGAAACAATCTCAGGAGTTCTATTAGGATGACGTTGACATGTATTTGTACAGAAAACCCATCGTCTGGGTATGAAATTGATGAATGAATTCCAGTAACTTTTCACCTGAAACTCAAAACCTTAAGTGCGAAAGTGATTGTTTGTAATTTCAATGTGGTCGACAGTATTTTAGGGTCTCTTTGTCAAAGGTAGGGATCTAATGGCACTCTTGTATAAAGTGTGGTGAAATTAAAAAATAACTGCAGTTCTTCAGTGCTATTTATCCCTACAATATTGGTTGATTTTATCCTAAATTGTTTATTAGTTATGTATCGAACTGCTCAAAGAACTAAATATATATGTATAGTTATAAAATAGATTTGCATGTTTTGTTTTAAAATTATAAGCTTCTTTAGGCCTGTCTTAATCTGATCTGTTCAAACTTAAAATGAACCACCCCATGCAATTTACCGGATCAATCATTCTTCAGCAGAAATTTTGTAAGAAGGCAGTTCTCATAAAATACTTCATTGAAAAAAGTGCAGATGTCATACATCACTTGTTTTCTATTATAACTTTTTACCAAATACAAGAAGGCTCCTAATAAATTTAAGATTGTCAAAATATGATTATATCACTTTTTGTGTCTTCACATTGTTTATTGTTAAAAATTTCATATATTGGTTAAGAGCCGGAGCACCTCCGTGAGAATAATAATACTTATGCTTCTAAAAATAATTAATCCTTCAATATTTTACCAAAAACTTGGGAATTTTGTATACATCAAAAAACTCAAAACACTGATTTTTGCACTTCAATCAAGAGTATGTACTATTACAATGGTAATTTCCTGTTACTTTTAGAACACCCTGTACTTAACATTTTAGGAAAATTTCGAAACAGGTCCCGGATTCAATTCCCAGTTCAGACAAGACTTAATTTGCTTGTTTGCGTAAAGTACTTCAGGGTGTTTGACTGAGTGGTCCACAACTCGTACAAAAGGCTGTGGTGTGTACTCGTATATCTATGTATGGGTGCACATAAAAGAACACAGGGCTCCTTAGAGGAGGGGTGTCTGGGTCTATCTTCAAGGCTAATTACGACCGTATATATACAGGATATACCCAAGAGGGATTGCTCACCTGCATTGTTGGGTAAACAAAATACAATACATAAGGGTTATGTACTGGGAGGTTTTGAATACAGGGTTTATCCCAAGGGAAATATGTGTATCTCCCGAGGGACCGCAGGGACACATATTTCCCGCGGGATAAATCCTGTATTCAAAACCGACCGTACATAACAGATGTATTTCATACCTACTGAGGTTTTAGGTACCTTATAAAGTTCCAAAATTCCAAAACATATGGTACACGTTTTCTTGTTCTTAAGATTTCCTAAAAATTTGAAAAAATGTGAAAAAAATTGAAAAAAAAATTCGAAAAAAAATATTTGAAAAAATGTTGAAAAAAAATTTGGAATTTTTTTTCAGGAGCGGGACCGGGATGGATACAGCCTGTATCCATCCCGCCCCGCTCCTCGGTGATAGATCCCTAGATACAGTATATATTCCCGCTCGTTATTTACCTAGAACCTTAGTAGGTATGGAATACAGTACAATATGGAGAAATTATATCATAAAGTATTCCTAATGTACAGGGTGTCCGGAAAGTAAAGATACAAGTGCTAGATTTACCTGTTGTGAGATGAAATTGCTACAGATTGTAGAATGACATTATAGCAATTCATCCTGCAACTGTCATGACAAATTGATGGCTGATTTTTCAAAATTTGAGAAATGTAAAATACATGTAACCGCCTGGGTCACTCTGACTTAGATTTTACCTTATCTGGCAAGATATAAATATCAGAGATGGGGGCAACAACAACTAAATAAACAAATTACTTCATCTTCATTGTTTAAAACAACTTTATTTGAAATAATTTCTGTTTCTCAAAAAAAACAATACATTAGGTTGCATTTATACATGTTAAAATACCTTATCTGTATCTATAGTAAAAAAAGCTACATCGGTTACCAGTATTTAGATCAAATACCAAACAACTTATATTAAGTCTCTCCTAAATCATACAGATTTTATTCATTGTATGTACTGTAAGTACAATATTTATATGACAACAAGAAAGAGCAATTGTTTCAAATATTACAGTAACTATTACATATATTTATATCCATTAATAAAAGCTCAGTTTTACAAAAATAGTACTCTTCACTTTGATTTGAAAATGTAACATGTATATTATATGTATCAGATTCAGAACAACATGACAATATTTGTCAAAATGTGATCATTTAAAATCTTAAGCTTCCGAGTATGACAAAATATATATAATATATATAAAATATCAAACTTTGTAAACAGCAAATAACTACATTTGACATAGCATGACATGAGAGGAAAATGTGTGTGTATCAGACTATTAAATACTGTATTATTTAGCATAACAATAAATTTTGTTTTTATATTCTATCTATTAATTTAAAAATACCTGATCCTCAGCATAGAAAAATACAATTTGTGCTGTATTGAAAATACAATGTAAAAGGAAGAAAAAATGCATCTTCGTAAATATTGAAGAATAAAATGCTAAACAAGCACACGTTAATGCTGCTGTGTATCTGGCGAGAAAATGGCAATAAGGAGCTCTTCATTAACGCCTCCCTGAAGAATCATACAACTTGTTTCTTTGTAAACTTTAGATTTGAAATTTGAGGAGAATGAATTCTCATAGTCTCGTAAATACAATAGTAAGACTAAGTGGCACTATTTCTAAGTTCTAATAGGCCCCATAGCATATTTGCCAATTGTTTTCTCATCTTTTGACCACGTGAAGTCGGCCATTACCTCCCGGAATCTATCCAATGTTAGTTTGTAGTGACCATTCTGAAAAAATGCAATAGTAGAGGTGTACAATAGTCCATTCATCTAAAATAATTATGGGGTATATAATAATATAGTTTGTACTTAGCATGTTTTACTGATATTTAAGCCATTTAATTCAACTAAAACATTGTTTAAAAATAAATATTATACATATTGTATGGATAAATAGAGTGGCCTTTGAAGTTATTTGTGATCCAAAAAGCTGATCTTAAAATACTTACATCAGTCATGTGATCTATTTGTTTACGAGCCTCATCTGCTTCGAGGGAGGGTGGGTCAATCTTTCCCCAGAATTCCCTGTACTCATCAGCATCTATATATCCATCCTCTGGAATTATGGGAAATTGAAAATTATAAAGAATTTTGCATGGCCAAATTACTCAAGGACAAATTTATTATACTTACTAGAAAACGGCAACTCCACAGAGTAGCAAATCCCAATGAACACTATAACATATATGAATCTGTATTTGTCACAAAAAATACAAGGCATTAACATGACAAAATGTCACCACCTAGTGCTCACAATATTATGAGTTCAATCTTAAGTCAGATTTGAATTTCTGATAACTTGTAGATGATTTTTAAATGTTTCAATTGACAGCAAATTGAGAAAAACTTTATTTGACCCTGGGAAGGTCATTGAAGGTGAAATCTCAAATCTAAAATCAGATTAGAACTTCTGAGAACTTGAAGTTGATTTAAAGTAAAATTGGTCAATTTGAAGCAAGTTGAAAAATGACCTTTTTGTCCATGAGAAGGTCATTAAAGGTCAAAAAAAAATTTGACCTTGAGAATGTCATGGAATTTCAAATCTAAAGTCGATTTTGAACTTTTGAAAACTTCTAGACGACTTTGAAAAAGGTATTGGTAAATTTGAAGCAAGTTGAAAAAACCTTTTTGAACTTTTTTTGACCTGGAGAAGGTACAAGTTCAAATCTTAAAGCTGCACATCGCTCTAGAACACAATCTTGGGTTGTTCAAGGGCCAACTGTAAATTTTTTTGCTTTAATGAAAGTATATACAATGGTGAAGAAATGGGGCAAATCTTGTTTACAAATACTCACAATATATGTGTCAATTTGAGGATTGTTCTTTGAATTGCTTCGATTGGTGCCGATAATATTATTTTTGGAAGGTTTATAAAGGTCCATGTGCAGTATGGCAAGTGATTTTAGGCAGTCATATCTTTCACCATGAGTTTTCTGAAGATTCTGGTGGTTATGCCCATTGTAACTAGGTAACTTGTAACCTGATGCTGACCAATGTTTGTAAAGTGTCATATAACTTACTTTTCGCATCCATGATCTGGAACATGGCATCAGCCATAGTCTGTAAAAATGTAGGCAAGTTGTCATAAGTCTTCGCCTTGAAGGTTTGAGTGACTCTGAAAAATAGAATGAAGGAACCATTAAGCAAAACAATCTATTTCATTTTCAAAATGGACATGAATATTGGTATCAACACTTATGAATGTACACACTCAATTAATCTTTGTGAGAAAATATCCCACTCTGTAAGGTATAGAAAATTGTCAAAACTACAGTGTAACAGATAATACAACATGTAATTTCTTTATGTTCAATCAATCCTATATTGACGGACAGACGGACGGACGAACAGACGCATGGACGGACGGATGAGACACATGGACGGACAGACGGATGGACGGAGGCGTTCCCTATATCACTCCGAACTTCGTTCGATGGGATAATAATGAAATAAACTGATTAACTATTAAAAATCCTAAAAGTACCTTGGATAGTAGTCCATCCACTCATCCATGCTTAGCTGTCCATCCTTGTTTTCGTCCATGAGTTTCAGCATACGGGACCAATGGGCCTGGAACTCTGTCTCAAATGCATGAAGTAATGTATCACCTTCAGCCAGGTTGTAAACAGATTTAATTTTCTAAAACAAAACAAATAGGGGTTAATGTTTATAAGATGTTTATTGGAGTGAGTTCAAGTCCCGGTGGAGTTACAAACTTTTTTAAACAATTTGAAGACAGCAGGGCAAATTGTTTTAAAGTATTTTAATCAGCCCAACCACTATGTTTCAATCAAATGCCTGATCAACATGTATATTATAGTTTCACATTTCTTGTGTTAAATCCATACATATATTCTATGGCCTTCGCCTATAAAAGAATCAAATCCAACAACTGGAATTTGAGTTATCAAAGATTATATTTCTTGATGAAAAAAAAACGGCAGGCCCTTTGAATTAAGTGGCCATATTTGAAATTCCTTTGTTCAGACTATGAATAACTTCTCAATATCCCTCACAAACAACATTTGGTGGAAAAATGAAAATTATGTTAATAGAAGGATAAACCAAAAAATACTTACATCAATATAATTTTTGTAGTCTTCATATTCTATCATACCATCCCCATCAATATCTGAAATATGTGGAAATAATAATAAATCTATCTGTACTCATGGGGTTCAATGGACATTTATTACCAGTTGGGACCTATCACTATACAACAGCTGGTGTTCAATTTGCATATTACATGCAATATTCAAAGGAATGGCAGAATTTAGGTCCCAACTTTAGTTGATCTTCCACTCCAATCATAAAGGAAAACATGAAAGCATGAAAGGGGACAATAACTTAAGAAATAGTTAAAATCTCTTTAATCTGTTGCTTATATTTATACAGGGTGACACATGTGTCAGACCATGCCTCCGCAGTCTCTTAATCAAGTCATTGATATGCAAGCATACCAAACTTTTCTCCTTTGAACACTCTTCTTAATTATTGAGAAAGTTGTTACAAAATTAGTGGATGGCATTCTTTTGTGTCACCCTGAACTATACTTTTCGCAAATAAATAAATCTTACCATAAAAATAAAATTTTCTTTGTAGTTTTGATTTCTGGAAGGCATTAAGGGGAGGTGCCTTTGGCAGCAAAGCCTCCAGGCACATTGTTCTCACTGGGACAGCTGCACATGGTACAACTGGAATGAACAGCACAGTTTAAATGTAAATATTGCATATATTCTGGAAAGCATTGGGGGAGGTGCCTTTGGCAAAAAAGCCTCCAGACACATTGTTCTCACTGGGACAGCTGCACATGGTACAACTGGAATAAACAGCACAGTTTAAATGTAAATATTGCATATATTCAGGAAGGCATTAGGGGGAGGTGCCTTTGGCAGCAAAGCCAGCAAAGCCTCCAGGCACATTATTCTCACTGGGACAGCAGCACATGGCACAACTGGAATAAACAGCACAGTTTACATATAAATATTGCATATATTCAGGAAGGCATTAAGGGGAGGTGCTTTTGGCAGCAAAGCCTCCAGGCACATTGTTCTCACTGGGACAGCTGCACATGGTACAACTGGAATAAACAGCAGTTTACATATAAATATTGCATAGTTGCTTGTTTTTAATACTTCCGCCCCATGGATGGAATTCATCAAAACTTCCACATTTTGCAGAATTCCTGATTTTCATGAAAATCTGGTGGAATTACCAGAATTACCTATAATATTTTTATTCGGTTAGACTATACCCAGTATAATTATTAGAACTTGCTCCATCCCCATTGACAAAATTAGGTGATGACATCGATTCCATATTGTATTTAAAAATATATAATAGTATTTTGCTCTTGATCTTGTATCTACCAGAATATATACGTTTTGCCAAGAAACTTAATTTTTTCTGTTCGTATGAAAATTTTATAAATGAATGAACATACCTTGTTTGGTGATGAGTTGAGCACTAGGTGCTGCTACTCGGGTAACAAAGGACCTCAACATGATTCTGAAACACATAGAACATCTTAGTTTATAATCTCATTTAGGGTTCCCATTTTTTTAGTTAATGGAAACACAGAATGAAATCCTGTGCTAGGGCTGATGTGAAAAAGTCCCACCCCAGTGGGGATCGAACCTACAACCCCTCGCTAATATGTAACATACATGTACTTCATTTGAAATGACTGTTATCAAATTCTTTAAATTGATCGGCAGTATTTTAAAATGTTCTCTATCAGTGGTCATGAACACTTCATCTACATCTCTCCTGATTCCCAAGAACATTATCCTTACAAGCTTGGGGAATCTGTCCCCTCAACAAATCAAGTCAAGCAAAAATCGTGAGTGTTTTTATACAACAATGTATTTGAATGATTTCACTAAGAATTACTGTTGTATTTGACATGTTGTAGGGAAAAATGCAAGGAAATTCCTTATTTTTCGAATATGACTTACATTTTCACTGCTTTTAACTATACTTCAAGTCCACACTTTCATGTGAAAAACATTTTTTTGTCTGTAGAATTTTGCCTGGATAATAGTTTTACTAAAAAATTTCAATAATGAATCTTTGTTTTAAACATTTCAAATGTAAATAATTGTTCAAAATTTACCGATCCAACTACCATGCGTGCAGAGTCTAGTTATAAACTACCCTCTGCCTAGTAGTTTACAGTTTAGTAGCCCCGCCCCCATGACCGATCATTTCACACCTATCGCGCTGACCTATTCTCAACCAATCATCTAGCTGGAGGGAACAAGTGCTTAATGCGTGTATAATAATTATGCGATTACGTCAGAGAAAATGACCATACATAGAAAATTTTGACCCTTAGAAGGTCAAAGGTGAAATCTCAAATCTAAAGTCAGATTTTAACTTCTGAGAACTTGTAGATGATTTTGAAAAAAAGGTCAATTTGAAGCAAGGAAAAAGACCTTTTTTACCTTGAGAAGGTCATTGAAGGTCAAATTCTTTTTGACCTTGAGAATGTCATTGGAGGTCAAACCTATAGTCAGTTTTGAACTTTTGAGAACTTGTGGATGATTTTGAAAAAATTAATTGGTCAATTTGAAGCAAGTTGAAAAAATACATTTTTGACCTTTTAACCTTTTTTGACCTTAAAAAGGTCATTGAAGGTCTAATCTCAAATCTAAAGTCAGATTTTAACTTATCTGATAACTTGTAGATGATTTTGAAAAAAATTGGTCAATTTGAAGCAAGTTGAAAACGACCTTTTTTTACCTTAAAAAGGTCATTAAAGGTCAAACCTTAAATATGAAGTCAGATTTTAACTTCTAAAAACTTATTGTAGATGATTTTGAAAAAAGGATGAAATCAGTCTGAACAGTATTTGTTAAAGTTATTGGAAGTTGTAAGAATTTGTTAGAGACACCGATCCCCAACCACCAACCGCTGTCAAAAAAACAAAGACCATATATATCACCACTTTTTGGTGGTGACATAATAGAGCAAGCCACAAGAAGTTTGTTCAGTTGATCCAAGTAAATTACATGTAAAACAGTTTTACGAACATTTAAGACAATTTTTAATGTCATCTTGAACAGACATTGTCAAGTGATACTTTAAGATTAAAAAACACTTAAACACTTTGATCGGACATCAAGGTCACATATAAAGGCATGTAAGCATTGAGAAAAACAAGCAATAAAGCAATAAGTTATATTTATCAGACAAAGATCTTCATAAAAAAATGTTCCAACAGAATAGCATTGCCTGAAAACATAATAGCTATGCAACGCCAGCATAAACTGTTTCGGGGAGTGGTGGTCGGAGAATAACATTTTTTGTTTTTTTGCATAGAATATCAATATTGATAAAATTTATCTGGCCAGGAATTACTTATGTTTTGCATTTCTAAAAGATAACATTCATTGGAGTCACATGTTATTTTCAGGAACACATGACTCATTCCATTCTATAACTTTCAATTTTACACAAAGACAGCGTGCACTGAGGTACCAAGAAGAGTGTAATGAATAATGTTTTTATGTGATGTATAAAAAATGAGAAAATTCAATGATCTACTTATTTTGAACTTTAAAAAGTAATTTTCTCATTTTTTATACATGTTTAAAATGTTATTCACTTCACTCTTTCCTTAGTGCATGTACATATGTGCACTCTTTATGCAATATTAAAAGATGTAGAAAATTCAGTGACCTACTTATTTTGTACTTTAAAAAAGTAGTTTTCTCATTTTTTAAACATTTTTTCTTTTCACTCTTTCTTTAGAACATGTACATAATTGTGCACTCTTTGTGCAATACTGAAAGATGTAGAAAATTCAGTGACCTACTTATTTTGTACTTTAAAAAAGTAGTTTTCTCATTTTTAAAATGTTATTCTCTTCACTCTTTCCTTAGAACATGTACATATATGCAGTCTTTGTCCAATACTGAAAGATGTAGAAAATTAAGAGACCTACTTATTTTGTACTTTTAAAAAGCAGTTTTCTCATTTTTTAAACATTTTTGAGACACACTCAAATGCAGGTTTTTTTCTGGCACAACCGTGGCAATGTTAGCGAAAACTGCAGGAATCTGCCGCAACCGTGGCACGTTATTATTAACATACTTAACATTGTCCCGGTTGTACCAGACATTGTTATATTGTTATACATTGTCCCGGTTCTACCAGACATTGTTACACTGTTATACATTGTCCCGGTTGTACCAGACATTGTTACTCTGTTATACATTGTCCCGGTTGTACCAGACATTGTTACACTGTTATACATTGTCCCGGTTGTACCAGACATTGTTATATTGTTATATATTGTCCTGGTTCTACCAGACATTGTTACACTGTTATACATTGTCCCGGTTGTACCAGACATTGTTACACTGTTATACATTGTCCCGGTTGTACCAGACATTGTTACACTGTTATACATTGTCCCGGTTGTACCAGACATTGTTACACTGTTATACATTGTCCCGGTTGTACCAGACATTGTTACACTGTTATACATTGTCCCGGTTGTACCAGACATTGTTACACTGTTATACATTGTCACGGTTGTACCAGACATTGTTACACTGTTATACATTGTCCCGGTTGTACCAGACATTGTTACACTGTTATACATTGTCCCGGTTCTACCAGACATTGTTACACTGTTATACATTTTCCCGGTTGTACCAGACATTGTTACACTGTTATACATTGTCACGGTTGTACCAGACATTGTTACACTGTTATACATTGTCCCGGTTGTACCAGACATTGTTACACTGTTATACATTGTCACGGTTGTACCAGACATTGTTACACTGTTATACATTGTCCCGGTTCTACCAGACATTGTTACACTGTTATACATTGTCACGGTTGTACCAGACATTGTTACACTGTTATACATTGTCCCGGTTGTACCAGACATTGTTACACTGTTATACATTGTCCCGGTTGTACCAGACATTGTTACACTGTTATACATTCTCCCGGTTGTACCAGACATTGTTACACTGTTATACATTGTCCCGGTTCTACCAGACATTGTTACACTGTTATACATTGCCCCGGTTCTACCAGACATTGTTACACTGTTATATATTGTCCCGGTTGTACCAGCCATTGTTACACTGTTGTACATTGTCCCGGTTGTACCAGACATTGTTACACTGTTATATATTGTCCCGGTTGTACCAGACATTGTTACACTGTTATACATTGTCCCGGTTGTACCAGACATTGTTACACTGTTATACATTGTCCCGGTTCTACCAGACATTGTTACACTGTTATACATTGTCCCGGTTGTACCAGACATTGTTACACTGTTATACATTGTCCCGGTTGTACCAGACATTGTTACACTGTTATACATTGTCCCGGCTGTACCAGACATTGTTACACTGTTATACATTGTCACGGTTGTACCAGACATTGTTACACTGTTATACATTGTCCCGGTTGTACCAGACATTGTTACACTGTTATACATTGTCCCGGTTGTACCAGACATTGTTACACTGTTATACATTGTCACGGTTGTACCAGACATTGTTACACTGTTATACATTGTCCCGGTTGTACCAGACATTGTTACACTGTTATACATTGTCCCGGTTGTACCAGACATTGTTACACTGTTATACATTGTCCCGGTTGTACCAGACATTGTTACACTGTTATACATTGTCCCGGTTGTACCAGACATTGTTACACTGTTATACATTGTCCCGGTTGTACCAGACATTGTTACACTGTTATACATTGTCCCTGTTGTACCAGACATTGTTACACTGTTATACATTGTCACGGTTGTACCAGACATTGTTACACTG